ATCTAAATATAAATCTAAAAAACAGTGTGGAAGATCTCTACATAGAAAGCTACAAAGGATTTGTGATAGAAATTTTAAAAGACCCACATTGATGGAGAGACAGACTGTGTTTGTGAGTTGGAACATTTATTATCATGGAGATGTCAGATTTCCCTACAATGATGTGTATGTTCAGTGTGTGCCCATTTGAAATCTCAGCAGGGTTTTTTTTTTATATGGAATTTAATAACTGCATTCTTTTGAAGATGTATTTATTTATTTCAGAGTTACAGAGAGAGGTAGAGCCAGAAAGGTCTTCCATCTGCTGGTCCACTCCCCAAATGACTGCATGGCCAGAGCTTAGCTGATCGGAAGCCAGAAGCCAGGAGCTTATCCTTGGTCTCCCATGCAGGTGCAGGGGCCCAAGGACTTGAGCCATCTTCCACTGCTTTCCCAGGCTATAGCAGAGAACTGGATCAGAAGTGGAGCAGCTGGGTCATGAACCAGCGCCCATATGGAATGCTGGTGCTGTGGGCTGGGGCTTTAACCCACAACGCCGGCCCCTATCTGCATTCTTAAATCTGTAAGGCAAAAGCAAAGGGCCAATTAACTGATAAAATCTTTGTTTAATTTCTTTTAAAATTTATTTTTTTAATTTTTTTTAAATTTTTTGACAGGCAGAGTGGACAGTGAGAGAGAGAGACAGAGAGAAAGGTCTTCCTTTGCCGTTGGTTCACCCTCCAATGGCCGCTGCGGCCGGTGTGCTGCGGCCGACGCACCGTGCTGATCTGATGGCAGGAGCCAGGTACTAATCCTGGTCTCCCATGCAGGTGCAGGGCCCAAGGACTTGGGCCATCCTCCACTGCACTCCTGGGCCACAGCAGAGAGCTGGCCTGGAAGAGGGGCAACGGGACAGAATCCGGCGCCCCGACCGGGACTAGAACCCGGTGTGCCGGCGCCGCAAGGCGGAGGATTAGCCTAGTGAGCCACGGCGCTGGCTTTAAAATTTATTTGAGAGGCAGAGACAAAGAAAGAGATAGAAGCACGCATAGAAGAGCTCTCATCTGCTGGTCCATTTCCTAGATGAGGGAGACAAAGAGAAAGATCTCATCTGCTAGTGAATTTTCCGAAAGCCCATACTGGGAGCTGGGAACCCAACAGTCTGTCAGGGCTTCAGAAGGTCAGACATGGAATTACCATGTAACCAAGGTATTCCACACTAGCAAGTTATCCATAAGAGCCAGAAGTGGGCCAGCGCTGTGGCGTAGTGGGTAAACTGCCGCCTGCAGTGCTGGCATCCCATATGGGTGCTGTTTGAGACTTGGCCATTTCACTTCCAGTCCAACTCTCTGCTATGGCCTGGGAAAGCAGTGGAAGATGGCCCAAATTCTTGGGTCTCTGCACCCACGTGGCAGGTCCAGATGAAGCTTCTGGCTCTTGGCTTCAGCCTGGCCCAGCCCCAGCCATTGTGGCCATTTGGGGAGTGAACCAACAAATAAAAGATCTCTCTGTCTTTCTCCTCCCCCAGTCTCTGTAACTCTGCCTTTCAAATAAATACTAAAATAAATTAAAAAAAAAAAAAGAATTAGAATCAGTAGTATAAAAAGAATTGAGTACTATTTTTTCACTTGACATCATGTCATATTTTCCCATGTTATTGAATATCTATGAAACCTCATTTTTAATAATAGCAAAATACTACATTGTCTAGATATATTATTTATGTAATATATTTTCTATTGATGAATACTAAGGTTATCAATGATATTTTTGTAATTAGCACTGTTTTGAACATCTTTAAAACAGTTTTTTCAAGATTTTTGCTTATTTCCTTGGGTTGATTAATCAGGGAAGCATGATTACTGGATCAAAGGACATGAGTTATTCAATTTTTAAGAAAATTTATTTGCAAGGCAGAGACAGAGATAAAGAGAGACAGAGAGGGTAGACAAAGGGAGAGCTTCTTCCATCTACTGGTTCACTACCCAAATGCCTGGAATGGTTGAGATAGAGCTGGGCTGAAGCTGGGAAATGGGAATTCAACTAAGTTTCCCATGAGATGGCAGGGACCTAATTATTTGAGCCATTACCACTGCTTCCTAGAATCTGCATTGGCAGGAAGCTGGAGTCAGGAGCCAGAGCTGAGAATTGAACTCAGGTTCTCTGATGTCAGACGTGGGCATCTTAACCACTAGGTTAAATACCCACCCTGTCACCTCAACTTTTTTTTTTTTTTTTGACAGGCAGAGTGGACAGTGAGAGAGAGAGAGACAGAGAGAAAGGTCTTCCTTTGCCGTTGGTTCACCCTCCAATGGCCGCCGTGGCCGGCGCGCTGCGGCCAGCGCACCGCACTGATCCGATGGCAGGAGCCAGGAGCCAGGTGCTTTTCCTGGTCTCCCATGGAGTGCAGGGCCCAAGCACCTGGGCCATCCTCCACTGTACTCCCGGGCCACAGCAGAGAGCTGGCCTGGAAGAGGGGCAACCGGGACAGAATCCGGCGCCCTGACCGGGACTAGAACCCGGTGTGCCGGCGCCGCTAGGTGGAGGATTAGCCTAGTGAGCCGCGGCGCCGGCCAACTCAATTTAAAGTAAAATTAGAGAATCCCTTACCCATCTTCACCTGAGGAGTGAGCAGTCACTAGCAGCATTTGCACAACTACTCTCCTTCCACACGCATTTTGTATTTTCTATTCAACAAAGTATCTTGTAACATTCATTTCTTTCTTTCTTTTTTTTTTTTTTTTTTTTTTGACAGGCAGAGTGGACAGTGAGAGAGAGAGACAGAGAAAAAGGTCTTCCTTTGCCATTGGTTCACCCTCCAGTGGCCACCATGGCCGGCGTGCTGCAGCCGGCGCACTGTACTGATCCAAAGCCGGGAGCCAGGTGCTTCTCCTGGTCTCCCATGGGGTGCAGAGCCCAAGCCATCCTCCACTGCACTCCTGGGCCACAGCAGAGAGCTGGCCTGGAAGAGGGGCAACCGGGACAGAATCCGGCGCCCTGACCGGGACTAGAACCTGGTGTGCCAGCGCCACAAGGCGGAGGATTAGCCTATTGAGCCACGGCACAGACTTATTTCTTTTTCTTTTTCTTTTTTTTTTTAAGATTAATTTATTGAAAGGCAGAGGTACAGAGAGGCAGAGGCAGAGAGAGAGAAACAGAGAGAGACAAGTCATCCATCTGCTGGGTCATTCCCTAGATGGCCACAATGGCTGGAGCTGCACTGATCCGAGCCAGGAGCCAGGAGCTTCTTCCGGGTCTTTCACATGGATGCAGGGGCCCAAGGACTTGGACCATCTTCTACTGCTTTCCCAGGCCATAGCAGAGAGCTGGATTAGAAGTGAAGCAGCTGGGACTGGAACCGGTGCCCATATAGGGGCTGGCACTGCTGGTGGCAGCTTTACTCACCATGCCACAGTGCTGGCCCCACATTCATTCCTTTATCAGTGAACTTGAACATGGTTCCTATGTTTGTTAGTCATTCATCTCTCTTCTGTAGGGTGGTGTTTGACCCAGAGATTAAGACACTGTATCTCATATTTCTGTGTCTGGGTTCAATATCCACCTGCATCTCCCGATTCCAGCTTCCTGCTAATGCAGATCCTGGGAGGCAGCAGGTGTTGGATCCAGCAGTTGAGTCCCTATCCACCTGAATTCCATGCCCAGCTCCCAGGTTCAGCCTGGCCCAGCCCTAGACGTTTGGGAGTGAACCAGTGGCTGTGAGCTTTGTGTCTTTTTCTGCCCCTCGAATGAATGAATGAATGAAGAAATAAATAAATAAAACCTTCTGAAAATTGTCATCTACACTGAGTTATCCCTTCATTTGTTTTTCATAGTATTGAATTGGGATTTTTAGCATGGTTCATATCAATTTGTAAGCGTTTTATATGTCAAGGATAATAATCTGTGGCTATCATATTTGTTGCAGATATTCCCCTCACATACTTTTTCCCTTGGATTTTATCATATGATTTTTTGGAAGGGCAGAATTATTTTTGTATAGTACAGATACCTACCATTTCCTTAATACTTACTGTATGTTGAGCATTGAGCAAGACTTTATGTGTGAGTTGTCTCATTTAATCTTTGCCATATCCTCAGTAGAATGCAACATTTCCCCATGGTACAGATGAGGAAATTGAGATTCAAGATCATAGAATCAGTGAATGAGTGAGCTGGCATGTGAGTGAACAAGCTCATATTTTGGTGCCATGATTTAGAATTTTGAAATATGCTTGCTTTGTCAGAGAAGAGCTTTCCAGCTCTTAGTATTTTGAATTGGCCATGCAATCATTGAGAAGGCACTAGAAGCAACACAATGAACACTCCTTCCTGCCTCTATTCCCTACCCCCCTGCCTCTTACCTCGTTCCACCTCCACTCCCGAGCCCCATCTTGGGCATGTGTATGATTCAAGTAAACATGAATGAATAGCCTTCTCCCCTTGTTTTACACAAAGGGAGAGGACTGGTCAGTTTAGATTATTTCTTTTTGCAAGACTTGGCTGCCGCTTTAGTGTAAACTATATCACAAAGTGAGCCTCTGAATTAATTTCATTAATTTCATCAGGGAGAGATTCTTCATGCAGAGAGTTCAGTTTGTTTAGATGGTAATTTCATATTGAAATCCATTTGGAGCCAAACGCCACCACTGCCAAGTCTTATGTAAGCAACAGAAGCTGAGCTGTCAACCAGCTGCCATATGTTGCGCGGGCTCAAGGCAGAGGACTGGGACAGATGGTTCTCAGGAATGAGTTAGCACTCTCAGATTCTCCAGAAATGCATGTTAACAAGAGGTTATTGCGTGGGACATACTTCTTAGAAAACATGGCCTTTCCCTTCCTCATTAGGGTAGTTAATGAAATGCATCACGGTAGAACTTTCCAGAATGGTTTGGCTTGGTGCTCTTTGTGTGGCTTGTCCTAGAGGTCAAGAATGGGGAGTAGTGTTACAGAGAGGACCTGTGCCCCTGTGGAAACCACTGACCAAGGTGTGCTTCTGCCGTTCTGCCTGTGTTTCCCCTCAGGTACTGGCGGAGGACGCTGGGCATGCAGGTGCGCTACGTTCACCACGAAGGCTATCAGTTCTGCTATTCCTTCCGGGGCAGGCCGGGGTCCAAGCCCTCCATCCTCATGCTCCATGGATTCTCCGCACACAAGGATATGTGGCTCAGCGTGGTCAAGGTGCAGTGCTAGCCTCTTGCCCCTTAGAGGAAAAGGATGTGATGTGGCCAGCCCTGGCCAAGGGCATGGGGAACCTGGAACCACACAGTTCAAGTGGTCTGAAAATGAATGCAGTGTTTTATTCAGTTCTTTCGTCAGATGGAATTGATTGAGTTGAACACTGTGTGTGAAACCTGTGCTTAGAACTCCACCTCATGGAGATTTCTGTGGGGAGGTTTCTGATAGCTTTGTCTGAGAACGGTCATGATGACCAAGATTGGGCTTTTGAAAATCATTGTTGTTTTGTTCTCCATGTTTCTTCCTTCTCTTTCCCTTTTCCCCCTCCACTTCTTCTCCATTTCCTGTCCCCCCTCCCTCCTCTACTTTCTGCCTTGTCTTTTTCCTTAGCTATGTAAAGAAATTCTCTTGATCTGCCAGCTTTCTGGAACTCACTTTTTGTCCTGGCTTCCTGGATGTGGCCACTTGCTGTGCTAGATTCAAGGGACTCGCTGGGGAAGGTTCTAGCTGATGGAAGTCTTGGGCAGGAAGCTTCTGCAGCTCCCACCTCGGGCAGGACCATATGCGAGGATCCCAAGTACTGTCTGCACCAGGAGGGAAAAGCTCACACATTGTGCACTACTGGCGATCTAACTTCCAAATTCTACTACGAGGAAAGTTGTCTTCATGCCTTAGTGAACCCTCACTTCCTGTCTGTACTTCTGATGAGCATCTTTCCTGTAAAGGGACATTTGTTTTTTGATAACTGATTTTTTTTTTTAGTTTCCTGGTTAAAAGTGGTGCATCTCTAAAGAGAAAAGGCATTTTAGGATAATAATCATCTCAGAAATCAGTCTTTAATACAAAAAAAAAAATGGGACTGGAATCAGGGTGATGAGACATAGTTCTTTGGGGAAATGTTGCTCCTGTTGGCTCTGGACCTAGCCAAGTTCTCTGGGAGAACAGTATTATCCCTTGTGGTTGCAAGTCAGTGGCAGTGTGGCTGGACTAAGTGTGGAAGGAAGGAGGGAGAGGAGGAGGTAGGACCTGCCCATCAGTGTCAGGACAGAACAGGAGTCTTCAGCCTGCTACCCTGACTTTCATCCTCTCTTCCCAGTCATCTCCGAGGCCCGCTTCCGTCTGTGTATTAGTCCTTGGGGACCACTGCTCCCTATAAAGCTTTTGGCAATGTTTATTCACACTGGTAGGGTAAAACACTGGGTGGCCTATACCCATATATCCCTAGGGATGGTGGCCCAGGTCACTTGGTAAGGTGGAGGGGCAATCCCTCCTGAAAAGTGGATAGACATCACAGAAAGTGGCCATGTCCAGTAAGCCAGGATGAAAAGGGAAAGCAGTTCCAGATTGCTGCCAGATCAAGTGGAGCTTGTACCCCACATGCTGACTCTTTGGGTCTATACATCTTTAGTTCCTTCCGAAGAACTTGCACTTGGTCTGTGTGGACATGCCAGGACATGAGGGAACCACCCGCTCCTCCCTGGATGACCTATCCATAGATGGACAAGTCAAGAGGATACATCAGGTAAGCACAAGGCTCCATCAGAAATTGCCCGGTGTGCCTCTTGCCCTCCATTGCCTACCCAAATCTGTAGGGCAGGCAAGAGAGCTTCATGCTGACTTGTGAGTGGTCTCTGTGCTGTCTGCAAATAATTGCAACCCTATGAAACCTTGCTCAGCTGTGGAGGACCACAACTTAGTAAAAATTGTTCTCTTTCAAGCCTTTTGCAGTTGTTGTGCATAAATACAATCAGGGCATTTTTTTGAGCTGTTTGAAAAGGGAGCTCAGAATTCTTCCAGCCCTTTACTCTTCTTGGGTATCTGTTTTTCTGTTTCCCAGTTGTATGGTAACAGCAGTGGCCTTTGTGCTTAGCCGGGGAGGGTTTCTTTGCATCTTTCTCTATTTTAGCATCTATCTTGATTGGGTTGTCAAGCCATTTCACAGTTGAGTGACCCATCAGTTTCAGGTTGACTTTGGTGTATCTTCCAAATGAGGATATTTATTTAATGTTCGCCCTCCCCCCTGCCCATTAAACTAGATATTTTAATGAGATCAAGAACCTTACCTTTTTATCTTCTCACTGTATCCTCAGGCTGACTATAGTGTCTGATAAGAATTAACCAATAATTTTTTTAGATGGATGGATGGACAGATAGATGATTGGTTGGATGGCTGACCCTATGGTAGGATGGAAGGATGAACAGACAGATGGATGTGTGGATAGTTCTATGAATAGATGGCTGTATGGATGGGAAGGGCTTTGAATTTTGGCAGATTCATCATACAGTGACTCCCATGAGCTGTCTTTGGCCTGTCATCTGTTTTTGTAGACTATATTTTAACAGAACACAGCCACAGCTCTTTGTTTACATATCGTCTTACAACATATGCTACATGTTACAACATACAACTACATCAGCGGAGCTGAGTATTGCAGCAGAGCTTATGGCCCACAAAATAGAAAATATTTACTCTCTGGACCTTGGTAGAACAGTGTGCAGACTCGTTAAGTACAGGAATTCTTGTTGGTTTTATGCTTAGAAATGATCCCTCAGTCACTTGTGCCAGGTACAGAGAAGTCCATGCATGCCACAGGGTTCGTCTTGACAGTGGGGCCAGTGGTTTCAGACCCCCTTTCAGCCATGGCTCTTTGCAGTTGTCCATAGGAAGCACGAGCAGTTTTTATTCTGTAGTCACCATTGTCATTGTCTTCAGCTGTGTAACCAAGCTTCCTTCTCATTCCCCTTCCTAGTTTGTAGAATGCCTGAAACTGAACAAAAAGCCCTTCCATCTAGTGGGCACCTCCATGGGCGGCCACGTGGCTGGTGTGTATGCTGCTTACTACCCATCGGATATTGCCAGCCTATGTCTCGTGTGCCCTGCTGGTGAGTTACTAGGCCACAACATCCTACTGAGTGACTTAAAACAAGTAGCCAGTATCTGCTATGACTTTTTTTAGAATCATCTTTGCTATATACTTAAGAGATGTGCAAGGCCGGCGCTATGGCATAGTGGGTAAAGCTGCCACCTGCAGTGCCAGCATGCCATATGGGTGCTTGTTCGAGTCCTGCTGCCCCACTTCCAGTGCAGCTCTCTACTATGGCCTGGGAAGGCAGTGGAAGACGGCCCAAGTCCTTGAGCCCCTGCACCTACTTTGGAGACTCGGAGGAAGCTCCTGGCTCCTGGCTTAAGATAGGCCCAACTTCTGCTATTGCAGGATAAGATGTTGACACTGAAGGCAGCAGCTTTACCCTCTATGCCACAGCGCCGGGTCCCCCCACAGAGAATTTGAAATGGTTAATTAAAAATGTGTATGGTAGCCAGCACCACGGCTTACTAGGCTAATCCTCCACTTGTGGCTCCAGCGCCCCGGGTTCTAGTCCCGGTTGGGGCGCCGGATTCTTTCCCAGTTGCTCCTCTTCCAGTCCAGCTCTCTGTTGTGGCCCGGGAGTGCAGTGGAGGATGGCCCAGTGCTTGGGCCCTGCACCCGCATGGGAGACCAGGAGAAGCACCTGGCTCTTGGCTTCGGATCAGCGCAGCACGCCGGCTATAGCAGCCACTTGGGGGAGTGAACCAACAGAAAAGGAAGACCTTTCTCTCTCTCTCTCTCACTGTCTAACTCTGCCTGTCAAAAAAAAAAAAAAAAAAAAGGGCCGGCACCGCGGCTCACTAGGCTAATCCTCCGCCTAGCGGCGCCAGCACACCGGGTTCTAGTCCCGGTCGGGGCGCCGGATTCTGTCCCGGTTGCCCCTCTTCCAGGCCAGCTCTCTGCTGTGGCCAGGGAGTGCAGTGGAGGATGGCCCAGGTGCTTGGGCCCTGCACTCCATGGGAGACCAGGAAAAGCACCTGGCTCCTGGCTCCTGCCATCGGATCAGTGCGGTGCGCTGGCCGCAGCGCGCCGGCCACGGCGGCCATTGGAGGGTGAACCAACGGCAAAGGAAGACCTTTCTCTCTGTCTCTCTCTCTCTCTCTCACTGTCCACTCTGCCTGTCAAAAAAAAAAAATGTATGGTGATTTGCAACATAAAAAACTTTGAAATATAATGTTAATATACTAATTTCCAACATTTATTGAGGTAAGCTCTGTTTTTTAAAGATTTATTTATTTGAAGGCAGAGTTGCAGAGACAGAGGCGGGGGGGGGTCTTCCATCCACTGGTTCACTCCCCAAATGGCTGAAAAAGCCAGAGCTGGATTGATCTAAAGCCAGGAGCCAGGAGCTTCTTCCAGGTTTCCCACACAGGTGCAGGGGCCCAAAGACTTGAGCCAACTTCTTTTTTTTTTTTTTTTTTTTTTTTTTTTTTTTTGACAGCCAGAGTGGACAGTGAGAGAGAGAGACAGAGAGAAAGGTCTTCCTTTGCCGTTGGTTCACCCTCCAATGGCCGCCGCGGCCGGCGCGCCGCGCTGATCCGATGGCAAGAGCCAGGAGCCAGGTGCTTTTCCTGGTCTCCCATGGGGTGCAGGGCCCAAGCACTTGGGCCATCCTCCACTGCACTCCCTGGCCACAGCAGAGAGCTGGCCTGGAAGAGGGGCAACCGGGACAGAATCCGGCGCCCCGACCGGGACTAGAACCTGGTGTGCCAGCGCCGCTAGGCGGAGGATTAGCCTAGTGAGCCGCGGCGCCGGCCGAGCCAACTTCTAATGCTTTCCCAGGCCATAGCAGAAAGGTGGATCAGAAGTGGAACAGCCGGGCCTCAAACCAGTGCCCATATGGGATGCCGGCACTACAAGCAGGAGCTTTACCTGCTACGCCATAGCGCCAGCCCTGACTAAGCTCTTTATGTGGATTTAATTCTGTCAGTAGTCCTATCAAATGAAGGGGAATTATGCCTCTTTCCTTTTCACCAGAAACTCAGAAATCTTTGTTTATTATCACATCCTTTTTTTTTTTTTAAAAAAAAAGCATCTTTGGTTTTTCTGTTCTTGTATATGTGTTAACCCGAGCTATACATGTCTGCAGAAATTACCTTCTGAAGTTGTATTTTTAAATTTGTTTTTCTTCCATAAGTCTTTAAGCTTAGATTTGTAAGATGTAATAGATACAAATCTTAATTTCTCTTTCCCTCTGTCACTTTGGTGCTTAATTAGCATATTATTTGCATGTAGTAAATTGCCAAATTTTAGGGGCACATCTTTCTTTGCATTTGTAATTACCATCCATGCCAGAGACCCGCTCCAGCCAGTTCAGGGGCCCCAAGGTGTGAGAGGTGTCGGCGCTTGAAGAAATGAGAGGCACTCACAGCAAGGCTGATGGCATGGCTCTGGCGTTTGAGCACCAGACTTTATTTTTATATCATAAGCCACACAATGATTTTTTCTTCTTACAATGAAAAGCCTGTTGTCCATTTTTTCTAATTATAATTTTTTTGATTTTCAAGGGCATACTCAGAGCATGGGTTACAATCACAGACAGGTGCAAGAAAACAGGCTGCCCACACAAGCCAATGCCTTGAGTGCTGCTGAACTATGCAGAAATTGGCTACATAACCTAGAATAGTACCTTCCTAATCTAATCTTTACTAGAAGCCCCAAGTTCAAAGCAGGCCCTTTTTAAAATATATCCCCTCTTTGCAATTTTTTCTGTAATTCTTTAATTTCTTTATTGTACTTATTTAAAGGTTTACTTAGATCTATTCTACAGTTTTGACATCCTAACCATTGTAGTATTTGTAGCATATAGTGAATTAAAGTTTTATTAACATCTATCTTTATTCTAGTGGGAAGTATATACCAGAGAGCCTGTTGCCTTTTAATTCTTTTCTACAAACAGCTCAACCTGCATAAGGCATTAACCCTTTCTCTTACACTAACATTCTGCTTGATTAGAATTCTACAAAGCAATGGACATTTTGGAGGTTATGAGACTAAGTGCTCTTCCCTAAAATTAGGAATACAGCAATCATTAGCAGGACCACCAGGAAGCTCCGGCTTGCTTATGCAGAGTGTAGTTCCCATCAAACCTAAAACCACCAAGAGGACCGCAGCTGTCCTTCTCATGCCTTGCTGAGACAGACCTTCTGCTGTGACCTTGTCAGCCAGCTGAAGTTGCCTTGGCCTCGTCACATCCAGATCAAGATATTATGCTCATTTTACGGATGAGAACATTGAGGCACAAAGAACTTACATTAGTGCCAGAGACAGAATAGGAACTACTCCCAGACTATCTAACCCTAGACCCCATCCTGTGGCTGTTTTGGAAATCCTTTCATATTTACTACTTTTTTTTTTTTTTTTTTTTTTTTACAGATAGAGTTAGATAGTGAGAGAGAGACAGAGACAAAGGTCTTCCTTCCATTGATTCACCCCCCAAATGGCTGCTACAGCCAGCGCTGTGCTGATCTGAAGCCAGGAGCCAGGTGCTTCCTCCTGGTCTCCCATGCGGGTGCAGGGCCCTAGGACCTGGGCCATCCTCCACTGCTTTCCGGGCCACAACAGAGAGCTGGCCTGGAAGAGGAGCAACTGGGACTAGAACCTGGCACCCATACAGGATGCCGGTGCCACAAGGCAGAGGGTTATCCAAGTGAGCCATGGCGCCGGCTCTTTACTACCTTTTTATGTGATCCACCAAGAATCCAACCATGAGCTGAACATTTATACCTTTTACTGAAATGTAATTTAGTTGGCTTTTAAAATTCTTTCGCTACCTTGAGAGTGAATGGTTTTCAGGTCTGTTAAGCACCTTGGACTTGAAGACAAAACCTCAAATTTTCTTCCCCATTTTCCCAGCGCCGTGTCTGAAATCACTGGGTCTCAATAACAAAATTTCAGAGTTGGAGGAACAGACTCTGTGGAATATTATTCGGTTTGAAGTCACTTACGGAAGGTCAGATCTAACTGGCTTTTTCAAGTGCACATTCATTTGTTCGGAGAAGAATCTTATACCAAGTTTAATTTGCAAATTTAAAGTTAACTTTGTATGTGAAAATGAGTAAGTAGAAACGATTTCAGGATTATATTCTACTTTGATTTTTTTTAAAATAAATGTCTTCTCCAAATTATCTTAAATTTATAGAAGTTACATACGTGGTGTGGACAGTTCCATATCCCCTTTGCCCAGTTTCCCCTGTTAACAGCTCACACTTGTCATAACTAAGAAACCAAGATGGCTAAATTACAAGGAACTAGGCTTCCGGCTTTCTTTGGATTTCACTTGGCTTCTCCACTAACGTCCTTTTCCTGTACTGGGGCCCCATCCACATGACACTGAGCCTAGAATTATTTTTAGAGAGAGGAAATGTTCCCCACAGCGTTAGGAAAAGCACACACGATACCATGTTAGATCTGAGATGGTTGCTGGCTGCAGAAGTGTGGATTTTGGCAACACAACCAGTATTATCGATGCTACCCCTTTTTTTTCTAAAATCTAGCTCTTTGGCTTTGTGAAACACCTAGAAGCTTGCTCATTGTTGGAAGGGGAAATTCCTTTCACCCTCCTGTGTGACACTAACTTTTATGGACTCCCCTCAGGTCATCTCTGGGGTAATAAGAAACAGTGGTCAGTCTCCAAGGGGCCCAGGCTTGGTAATCGTCTCTTCCTGGAGGAAGAGGGGCGGTGGGTGTAGGGGCAGCAGAGCGGCTGCTCCATGTGGGGGACAGTGAGGAGAAGGCTCATTCTCCCTGTGTTTTGTGTATTGACCCCAAATAAGAGAGAAGTGGTGCAGGCAATGTAGTGCCGTGGTGGCTGCTGCTTGTGACGTCCGCAGCACTTATCAAAGTGCCACTTTGAGTTCTGGCTCTTCTGCTTCCTTTCTGGGTTCCTACTAACATCTGGGGAGCTGTGCATGATGGTTGAGGTGCTTGGAGCCCTGACATCCATATGGAGTGTCAGGCTCCTGGCTTCAGTATGGCTCAGCCCTGGCTGGTGTAGGCATTTGGGGAATGAACCAATAGATGGAAGAGCGCTCTCACTCTCTCTCTTGCTCTCTCTCACTCTGTCTTTCAAGTAGTTGAAATTAAATTTAAAAACACTTTTAAAAAGATTGAGTGGCCGGCGCCGCGGCTCACTAGGCTAATCCTCCGCCTAGCGGCGCCGGCACACCGGGTTCTAGTCCCGGTTGGGGCGCCGGATTCTGTCCCGGTTGCCCCTCTTCCAGGCCAGCTCTCTGCTGTGGCCCAGGAGTGCAGTGGAGGATGGCCCAGGTGCTTGGGCCCTGCACCCCATGGGAGACCAGGAAAAGCACCTGGCTCCTGGCTCCTGCCAATGGATCAGCGCGGTGCGCCGGCCGCAGCGCGCCGGCCGCGGCGGCCATTGGAGGGTGAAGCAACGGCAAAGGAAGACCTTTCTCTCTGTCTCTCTCTCTCTCACTGTCCACTCTGCCTGTCAAAAAATAAAAACAAAAAAAATAAAAATAAAAATAAAAAAAAAAAAGATTGAGTGCCAAGAGGATCTAGGCCAAGGGAAGGGGAGCCAGTCACTGCAGCTCAGAGCTTTCTTTCCCTCGTGTCCTGCTTCAAAGCAACTCTCAACAATACAGAGGCAAAGGGGCTCAGGCAAGTTTCTTTCTACACAGATGCTTCTTAAACTTCATCATAGCTATGACACCCTCCCTCCCTGCAACTGATTAAACTGCACATTCAGATTCAAGAGGCGCAGGGGCCTTTCTGGGGCCTCCTGCTGCTCCTGGCCCATGGACCACAGTTGAGTCATCAATCTCTAAAATACCCGGAAGGATTCTTCTCTGTGTTTTTCATAATGTGCTTCTGACTTTAAGCAAGGACGGTAGTACCAATTAAAAAGGAAATCCACAGTGACTGAAACCTGAAGTAGAGTAGGTCTAGGCTGCTGTTGAAAATTCCCTATAGCAACTGAGGGTTAGCAAAAAGGCAGGGGTGTCCTGCCATTTCGGTTTGAATCTTACAGGCCTGCAGTATTCAACTGATAATCAGTTTGTTCAACGGCTCAAAGAACTACAAGACTCAGCTGCCATGCAGAAGATCCCTCTGATCCCATCCACCCCGGAAGAGATGAGTGAAATGCTCCAACTCTGCTCTTACGTCCGCTTCAAGGTGCCCCAGCAGGTAACGTGCTCCCCACAGCCGAACACTTGCCCTCTGCCATGGGCTTAGCTGGTGAGTACCAGCTTCCTGCATGCATTCCCTCCGTCACCTGGGCATTCACTCCTCCTTGTCCTTTGATAGCTGTTCACTCACGTAGCTCCCGTGCAGTGCCTGTGACATGTCAGACTGTCCAGCGATGTTTCCCACATCATATAGGTACAGGCAGGCAGTGTGCTTTCGAGAGAATGCCAGTGGGAAAGACAAGTAATGTTGACCATAGTGTGATCTCCTGGGTTCCCAAGTCCCACGATGAGAACTGCAGGGCCTTGACAGTTATGGGAAGGATGCTGGGGTCTTCCTAAGTACAGTAGGAGAACCCCTAAGGAGTGTGGGGGAACACAGACGAAAAGAGGCCCGTTTGAGGTGGTGGTGGTGTGGGCCCGGTGGCAGCAGTGGAGATGAGAGAGTTGAGGTGCACAGGGAGAGGTGACTTCCAGTACGTGTATAGCCGTGTGGCTAAAGGTAGCATTTTCTGAGTAGAAGCAGGTGAGGAAGGACAGCTTGGGGGATATGCCAAGAGCTCTGTTTTGGTTCTGTCACCTTCGAATGGCCTGCGAGGGTTCCACGAGAACCAGGAGAGGAGAGTCCATGGCTGAGGCCTCTTTTTTTTCAAAGATTTATTTATTTATTTGAAAGACAGAGTTACAGAGAGGCAGAGAGAGGGAAAGAGAGAGGTCTTCCATCCACTGATTCACTCCCCAGATGGCCACAACAGCTGGAGCTAGGCTGATCCCTAGCCAGGAGCCAGGAGCTTCTTCTGGGTCTCCCACGAGGGTGCAGGGGCCCAAGGACTTGGCAATCTTCTACTGCTTTCTCAGGCCATAGCAGAGAGCAGGATTGGAAGCAGAGCAGCTGGGACTCGAACTGGTGGTGGCTTTACCTACTACACCATGCGCCAGCCCAGGGTTAGGCCTGTTAACACGAATTATCTCCTCCTACCTTAGGAACTGGACCCTGCCTCAGGGTGGGGTGGGTCCCCCTGGGGCATGAGAGAACAGGCTCTCTTGAGAAGTTGCAAACACCACTCGGTTAGCAGGTGTGGCCTGTCTGAGGGAGCACCCAGAACCTGAATCTGTGGTGGCCTCCATCCCTGAAGTCCTCTCTTAGTCACGAAGTGGCACTGTCCTCTCGCAGCACTGACTGCTTCCCAGAATAGAGTAGTTCAACAGTGTTCAAGAAAGCTCTGTGTGTCCAGGGGTCAGGGATATGAAATGCTGAGGGAAAATAAATGGAAGGTACAAAAGCCTTTCTTTCCTGGGAGAGAAGGAGCACCCGGGCCCTCAGCCCACTGGATCATATCTTGTTTTGGTTGTCCCTTTGCTTGCCTGTGTCTTCCACACTAAACTCTGTAAGATCAGGGACTAAGTCTCAGTTGACTGTCTGTCCCCAGACTTTGGCATGGTGCTTGCATGAGGTTGGTCCTAGGTATAGATTCGATGGATCCAGAGATGAGAGAATGCCTTGATAACGCAGGTGTGGAGAGTGGATGGGTGAGCAGGTGCAGGATGGAAGGATACCTGAGCTGGTGCCTGTCATCAGGGAAGGCAGAGACAACATTAAATTGGTAAACAAGGAATGTTGGAACCTCCCCAGAGTTTTATCAATGGCTTATTTCTGTTGTTTTTTTTTTTTTTAATTTAAAGATTTGTTTATTTGAAAAGCAGGGTTAGAGAAAGAGGAGAGACAGAGAGAGAAAAAGAGGGAGATAGTTTCCATTCATTGGTTAATTCCTCAAATGGTTACAATGACTGGGGCTGGGCCAGGCTGAAGCCAGGAGCCAGAAGCTTCATTTAGGTCTCCCACTTGGGTGCAGGGACCCAGACATTTGAGCATCCTCCCCTGCTTTCCCAGGCACATTAGCAGAGAGCTGGATTGGAAGTGGAGCAGCTGAGACTCTAACTGGCACCCCATTGGATGCCGGCATCAAATGGCAGCTTAGCCCACTACACCACAACAACCCCATGGTTTATTTCTTTGTTGCTTAAAAGGCCCATCCTCCCTAATCATTCATTTTTTTAAAAAGTGGCTTTATTCTACATTGGGGTGTTAGTGAATAATGACTTGATAGTGGGTTCATCCTGATTGTATCTTTTTAAAAAAGATTTATTTATTTGAAAGTCAGAGTTACAGAGAGGCAGAGGCAGAGACATAGAGACAGAGAGATCTTTCATCTACTGGTTCACTCCCCAAATGGTGCGACAACAGCTGGAGCTGGGCTTATCCGTAGCCTGAAGCCAGGAGCTTCTTCTGGGTCTCCCACGAGGGTGCAGGGGCCCAAGGACTTGAGATATCTACTGCCTTACTAGGCCATAGTAGAGAGTTGGATTGGAAATCAAGCAGCTGGGACTTGAACTGGCACCTGTATGTGATGCTGGCACTGCAGGTGGCTTTACCTGCTGTGCCACAGCGCCAACCTCCCCCAACCCATTGTATCTTTTTTTTTTTTTTTTTTTTTTTTTTTTTTTGGACAGGCAGAGTGGATAGTGAGAGAGAGAGAGACAGAGAGAAAGGTCTTCCTTTTTGCCGTTGGTTCACCCTCCAATGGCCACCATGGCTGGCGCGCTGCAGCCGGTGCACCACGCTGATCCGAAGGCAGGAGCCAAGTGCTTCTCCTGGTCTCCCATGGGGTGCAGGGCCCAAGCACTTGGGCCATGCTCCACTGCACAGCAGAGAGCTGGCCTGGAAGAGGGGCAACCGGGACAGAATCCGGCGGCCTGAGCGGGACTAGAACCCGGTGTGCCGGGGCCGCAAGGTGGAGGATTAGCCTATTGAGCCGCGGCGCCGGCCCCCATCATATCTTAGGCAGAGACTCTCAAGGTAGGGCAGTCATCAGGCCATCTCAGGGGCCTCTTATGTGCTGGAGGGACCTCTTGGCCTCATAGCATTACCGATGTTCTTTCAAATGCGAAACAGCAGCTTAGGAGCTACTCCTGACTACTTTATAACAACACCATGAGAATTCCGAGAATTAGGAGACCCTAAAATCCTGGACGGTGCGGTGAATCCCCTGCATTGTCCCCAGGCTGGCAGAGACCCCAGGAAGTGCTGCTTCTCCTGCTTTCTAACTTTGGCTTTTTCACGCTTAGATCCTGCAGGGCCTCGTGGATGTCCGCCTCCCTCACAACAACTTCTACAGGAAGTGTAAGTAGCCCTGCTTTCAACCTGGCTCCCCTTCCAATGGCAGGCGACAGGTGGCTTTTCTTTCTGAACTTTGCAAGGCTTGGAATGTTTCCTTGGGCCTCAGAGGAGAAGAAGGGGTGCCCCCCACCTGCTGCCTCCCCCGGACCTTGGGTGGTACCCACAGCCACAGCCCAGCACACGCTCACTTGTTTTCCTTTTCTGACAGTGTTTTTGGAAATCGTCAGTGAGAAGTCCAGATACTCCCTGCACAAGAACATGGACAAGATCAAGGTTCCCACGCAGATCATCTGGGGGAAGCAAGACCAGGTATGTCACCCAGCCCTGCAGAGAGACACACTAGAGGGAAAGCCAGAGGCCTTCGGCAAAGGGAGCCTCTTATCAGAAGGAGACAAGACGGCACATTGCTCAGGGAGTTGAGAGCAAGGACATTTAGTCTTTGAAAAATGAAGAGCCATTTAAGATCATTCTAAAACACATTTTTATCAAAGCCATATAATCACATGGTATGAAAAACTTCAAAGAGTACAAAAAAGTTTATCATGTAAATGTGGTCTATTTCATATTCCAAATCCAAATTCCTACTGCCTTGAAGCAGCTCCTACTGTCTTGCATTGTTTGTGTCTCACAGTGTTTAAACCAGATGTTGGCGAGTGTTTTCTGCATGAGGGCCAGATGGCACATACGTCTGGTTTTATGGTCTATAGTCCCCGTGACAACTCTTTGGCTCTGCCCATGTAGCACAGAAACAGCCCTAGATATTACGTGACCAAATGGCATGGCTATGTTCCAGCAAACACACTCTCATTTTGTTTTCCCCAGAAACCTTTTATTTAAGGAAAACAAACTTCATACATTTCATAATTACAAGTTTAGAAGCATGGTGATTCTTCCCGCCATACCCGCCCTCCCACTTACTCTCCTACCCCTCTTCCTCCTCCCTCTCCTATTCCCATTCTTATTTTTTACTAAGATCCATTTTCAGTTAACTTTATACACATATGATTAACTCTATGTTAAGTAAAGAGTAAAACAAACAGTATGAAAAACAAAAAAACTGTTCCTCAACAGTCAAGACAAGGGCTGTTCAAAGTCATTTCTTAAAGTGTTAATTTCACTTCTATAGATAATCATGTAAATACTCTATTAGTTATCACAGGTTAGGGAGAACATAAGCTATTTGTCCCTTAGGGACTGGCTTATTTCACTAAGTATGATGTTTTCCAGTTTAATCCATTTTGTTGCAAACGACCAGATTTGGTTTTGTTTTGTTTTTACCACTGTGTAGTATTCCATGGTGTACATATCCCATAATTTCTCCAGTCTTTAGTTAACAGGCATTTGTGTTGATTCCATATCTTAGCTGTTGTGAATTGAGCTGCAGTATGGGGGTGCAGATAAGTCTTCATGTGCCGATTTCATTTCCTTTGGTAAAATCCCAGGAGTGGGATGGCTAGGTCATATGGTAGGTCTGTATTCAGATTCCTGAGGTATCTCCATACTGTCTTCCATACTGGCTTTACCAGTTTACATTCCCACCAACAGTGGATTAGGGTATCTTTTTCGCCACATCCTCACCAGCATTTGTTCTTTGTTGATTTCTGTATGAAAGCCATTCTGACTGGGGTGAGGTGAAACCTCATTGTGGTTTTGATTTTCATTTCCCTGATGGCTAGTGATCCTAAGCATTTTTTCTTGTGTCTGTTAGCCATTTGTATTTCCTCTTTTGAAAAATGCCTGTTTAAGTCCTTTGCCGATTTCTTAATCTTTCTTGTTTGTTTTGTTGTTTTAGAGTTTCTTGATCTCTGTGTATTCTGGTTATTATTACTTTATCAGTTGCCTAGTTTACAAATAATTTCTCCCATTCTGTCAGCTGCCTCTTCACTTTCCTGAGGGTTTCTTTTGCAGTACAGTACAAAATTTGTCAATTTTGGCTTTGAATGCCTGTGCCTTTGGGGTCTTTTCCAAGAACTCTTTGTTAAAGCAAATGTATTGCAGGGTTTCCCCAAGGTTCTCTAATAATTTGATAGTTTTGGGTTGTAAATTTAGGTCTTTAATCCATTTTGAGTGGATTTTTGTGTAAGGTGTAAGGTAGGGGTCAATGCTTCATACTTCTGCCTGTGAAGATCCAGTTTTCCTAGCACTGTTTGTTGAATAGACTGTCCTTGCTCCAGGGATTGGTTTTAGTTCCTTGGTCAAAGATAAGTTGGTTATAGATGCATGGATTGATTTCTGGCATTTCTATTCTGTTCCATTTGTTTATTCATCTATTTTTGTACCAGTACCAGGCTGTGTTTTTTTGTTTGTTTGTTTTTTGTGGTTTTTTTTGTTTTGTTTTGTTTTGTTTTTTTGACAGAGTGGACAGTGAAAGAGAGAGAGAGAGAAAGGTCTTCCTTTGCCGTTGGTTCACCCTCCAATGGCCGCCATGGCCGGCGCGCTGCGGCCAGCGCACCGCGCTGATCCAATGGCAGGAGCCAGGTACTTATCCTGGTCTCCCATGGGGTGCAGGGCCCAAGCACTTGGGCCATCCTCCACTGCACTCTCTGGCCACAGCAGAGAGCTGGCCTGGAAGAGGGGCAACCGGGACAGAATCCGGTGCCCCAATCGGGACTAGAACCCGGTGTGCCGGCGCCACAAGGCGGAGGATTAGCCTAGTGAGCCGCGGCACTGGCCCAGGCTGTTTTGATTATAACTGCCCTGTAGTATGTCTTGAAATCTGGTATTGTGATGCCTCCAGCTTTTTTTGTTGTTGCTGTATAAGATTGCTGTATCTATTTGGGGTTTCCTGTGTTTCCATATGAATTTCAACATCATTTTTTCTATATCTGAGAAGAACGTCCTTGGAATTTTGATCGGTATTGCATTGAATCTGTAAACTGCTTTTGGTAGTATGGACATTTTGATGATATTGATTCTTCCGATCCATGAACATGGAAGATTTTTCCAGTTTTTTGTATCTTCTTTTTTTCTTTCTCTAATGTTTTGTAATTCTGATAGTAGAGATCTTTGACATCCTTGGTTAAATTTATTCCAAGGTATTTTATTTTTTTGGTAGCTATTGTGAATGGGATCAATATTAGAAGTTCTTTCTCAGCCATGGCATTGTGTTTGTATACAAAGGCTGTTAATTTTTGTGTGTTGATTTTATAACCTATCACTTTACCAAACTCTTCTATGAGTTCCAGTAGTCTCTTAGTGGAGTCTTTTGAATCCCCTTTATATAGAATCATGTCATTTGCAAATAGGGATGGTTTGATTTCCTCCTTTCCAATTTCAAACACAATATTAAAAGCAAGAAGCAAGCCTTCATTTGCCTACACCTATTGTAAACACACACATGCTCATAACATCCACAGACACTTCAGAAAATTTGTGGAGAATGGGATTTTTTTTTTTTTTTGATAATGGGATTTAACGATGACTTTATTTTGGTGCAAAGAAGTTGAAATTCATGTACAATGCTTCTAAGGCACATCACACATATTCTCTGAATCCTGTGAAGGCCCTTTGATAGTACATATGCATATATATATATGATATTTATGTAAGTTTTTCATACACACTGTATACACTATATTACATCAGACTTCATATATATATATATATGAAATATATATCTTGGAAACCTTTCGTATTAGCCCATAGAGGTCTTTTTATGCTATTTGTCAAAAATATTTTATTTTGAAATAATTTCAAGCTTAGAAAAAAAGTTACATGTGTACAGGATTCTTCTCTATATCCCTTTTCCAAATTCCTCAGTTTAAATGCTCTTCTGGAGTATGATGTACATTCTTTGGAATTCCCCCAGGGGGCACCATCCCCAAAACCCAGGTGCAGAATACTTCTGTCACCCCAGCTAGTTCCCGCCTGCCCACGTGCAGTTAATCTCCACACCCACCCCAGCTTCACGTAACCGCTGATGTGTTTTGTTTACATAGTTTTTCTTTTTCAATTCCATTTAAATGCTGTCATACAATATGTAGTCTTTTTGCATCTGGCTTCTTTCACCCATACACAGTTTCTAAGGTCCATGCATGTCCTTGTGTATATAGGTAGTTTTATCCTTTTCATTGCTGAGTGTTATTCCTTGGTATGTGTGTGCCACTTTTTACTAGCAATTTTTTTAAAGATGTATCCATTTATTTTAAAAGCAGAGGTACAGAGGGGCAGAGGCAGAGACAGAGAAAGAGGTCTTCCATCTGTTAATTCACTCCCCAAATGGCTGCAACTGCCAGAGCTGGGCTGATCTGAAACCAGGAGCCAAGAGGCTCCCTCAGGTCTCCCATGTGGGTGCAGGAGCCCAAAGACTTGGGCCATCTTCTACTGCTTTCCTAGGCCATCAGCAGGGGCTGATCGAAGTAGAGCAGGCAGGACACGAACCAGTGTCCACATGGGATGCCAGCACCTCAGGAGGCAGCTTTACCTGCCACGCCACAGCACCGACCCCTCGTTAGCAATTTCTAAAAATCTTTTAGCACTTAGCACTCCCATCTATCTATCCAGAAGTGTATCTTTGGGACCATTTGGAGTACATGTTTACATGACGCCCCTGAGCCCCTTACATGTTAGGGTGTATTCACCATGAACAAGAATATTCACTCATAACTCCATCCTCCATAGCACATCATCACATTCTGGAAACATCATGGTGGCAGGATGCTTCGTGCTGCAGTCTGTGATCCAGTTTTGTCACTTGCTTCAGTCATGTCTTCTCTGGCACCTCCTCCCCCCGCCACCCTGATCCATCATCTGACCCAGGGTCGCTTGCTACCTGCCAGGTCTCTTGAGTCTCCTTCCATAGACAGCTGTTCATGACAGGGAGATGGTGAAGAGGATGAAGGCTGGTCAGTTTATGAAGTGCTGTTCAGTTTGAGTTTGTCTGCTGTTTCCTCATGGAGAAATTCAGGTTCCATATGCCTGGCCTGACATCTCATGAGTGAGAACGTGGCACATCCTCAGACGCACCGGGTCCTTGTGCTTCTGACCGGCGATGTTGATTGTGATCGCCTCTCAGGCTGTTGTCTGCATTTCCCTTATACAGAGTTACTGATGTGCAGGTTGCAGGCACACTGTGAGACCATGCATTTGTCCTGATCCCCATCAAACACCCCCCACCTTAATTTACCATTCATGATGATTCCTGCCCCAAGCCATCTTTTGCTTCATTCTTTTCCAGGAGCTCCATAGGATTGCATAAAGTTGCTCTGCCACAGTGCATTTCATTCACATCTTCCCAACTGTCATTCAGGTCCCTTTCAGGGTTTTGCTGTTAAACGACACCAGGGTACAGATGATTAGCTGTGTGTGTTTGTGGGACGTGAGCATAGCAGAAGAGTCAGTTCTTCGATGTGGGATCACCGGATCCAAGGGCATGTGCCTTTAGAATGTTCAGAGGCTTTGTCAGATGGTCCTGTATTAGCTGGGTGGGGCCATCTTGATAAAATGCCACACACTGGTAGCTCTGGAGGCCAGAAGTCCGAGATCAAGGCGTCAGCAGGGTTGTTTCTTTGTGAGGCTTGTGAAAGAGTCTGTTCTGTATATGAAATATATGAGACTTATATAAATAAAATTTTAAAAAATAGGCTCTTTCCCATGGCCTTTGTGTGATGCCAGCCGTCTGCAGTGTGCCTTGGCTTGTGGCTGCCTCCTCTGCTCTCTGTCTTCATCTTCACGTGGTGTTCTGCCCGTGCGTGTGGCTGCCTCTGGGTCCCAGTGTCCGCTTTTTATAAGGCTGCTGCTCAGATTGGATGCAGGGCCCACCTCTTCATAACTAACTATACCTGCAATGCCCTGTTTCCAAATAATGCCACTTTCTGAAGGACTGCGGGTTAGGGCTTCCAAAGATAGATCTGGAGGACACAGCGGGCCCTCCAAAGATGTGCAAATGCATAAACACTGCCAGGAGCTCCTCTCCTGTATGCAATTGTTCTTTTTTTTAAGATTTAATTTATTTATTTGAGAGGTAGAATCACAGAGAGAGGGAGAAAAAGAGAAAAAGGTCTTCCATCCACTGGTTCACTCCCCAAATGGCCACAACGGCCAGAGCTGGGCCAGTCCGAAGACAGGAGTCAGTAGCTTTTTCCTGGTCTCCCACATGGCTGCAAGGGCCCAAGCATTTGGGTCATCTTCCACTGCTTTCCCAGGCCATTAGCAAAGAGCTGGATCGGAAGTGCCACACACAGCCAGGACTCAAACCGCTGCCCATATGAAATGCCAGTCCCGCAGGTGGAGGCTTAGCCCGCTACACCACAGTGCTGGCCCCTGCAATTGTTTTTAAAGTCACATCTTATTGCGAGTTCTTCCTGAAGTTTAAGGCAGGAGGCAGCAAAGAGAAGTATGGGCTTTCTGAGGCCCATGAGGCAGACAGAGTGGCACTGGGTGTTAGAAGGTGTCCAGGAGTTTTTATGAGAAAAGGATATAGTAGAAAAGCTTTTCTGGAGGAGACGGTTTTTCCAAAGCCCTGGTCTTATTCTGTTTTCTGTTGCTGTAACAAAATCCTGAGAGCAGGCAATTTGTAAAGACTAGAGTTTCTTCTGGCTCACAGCTCTGGAGACTGGGACATCTGAGAGCATGACCTTGGCGTCTGTTCAACATCTGGCTGGGGTATTCTCCCTGCATCGTGACATGGCAGAGAGCACCACTCGGCAAGACCACACAAGGTGCAGGAGACAGCTTGATTTTATAACGAAGCCACTCCTGCAGCACTGAATTCACTCCTGTGATGGCGGCTTTAAGCCATTAATGAGGGCAGGGCTCTTCGTTAATCCATTCAGATCCCGAGGTGAAAGCCATCGTTGTGAGCCCTGTTGGCACTGATGAAAACTAAGGCAGGAAGTCAGGCTGTGATCACAAAGCCCCTGAGTGCATGGGTGCCCTGGCGGGAGAGACTGGGGAGAAGCCAGGGTGAGAAAGCAGGGGTGGGACAGGTGGCTCAGGTCAGCCAGGCCTGGCCTAGGGTGCACAGGTCAGGAATGGGGACATGGAGAGGAGGGAGCCCCTGTGCTTTCTTCTGTAGCAGCCACTGAAAGAAGCTTTGTGTGTGCCTGAGTCACAAGTGGGACCCAGGCTCGGCCCGTGGGGAGCCACTCGATCAGAAACCAGAGCCAGAACAATGAAGGCCATTCTTCATTGTAAAAATCCCAAAGGTGACCTGAGGCTCTCGGGGACCAGCAGGGCAAGGCCATACCCCATTGTCCTGTGGAGACAAACTGCAGGACTCGTGAGAGCACTGGCCTTGAGTCTGAAAGTCTGCCTTGCAGCCCTGCCTTGGCCCCTTATCTGCCTGTGACCTTGGGTAAGTCACTTGGTCCCTCCAAAGTGAGGCCTTCTCTCCTCTGGGGGATTATGGTGAGGCTCAACCAAAATAATATATGTGGAAGTGATCTTTCTCCACTTACCAAGAAACGAATGATTTATTACACATGTCCTTTTCCTCTTCAAGTTGTAACTGGACCACAGTTTCCTTCAGGACTCTGAAGTCCTTTTTGTTCCAGAAAAAGATCCTAACATCCTACTGGCCTGCTATAAATATGATCACAACCTTTGTGTGTTTTGGGCAGAGGCCAAATAGCACAAGCTCCATGGGGTCCTTTATTTCATGGTCTTTAACTTCCCCAGATCTCTGGCTCTCCTCTTGCTCTGTCCCAGCACCAGTCCGGCCAGGCTGAACACAGCCTGCCTCTTCTTTGGATGCCTGTAGGCCAGTTGCTGTCTGACACAGCCCCAGAGCTGTGTACTGTCATCTGTGTGAATGATGCCCCTTGGATTTGGGCAGTACACAGCCTGCACAGCTCAGCCTGTCAGCCCTTCCTCACGTCAGTTCAGGCGTCTCTCCCCCCCCATTCAATGCTGCAGACTGGGAGGGCCTGTGCACATGGACATGGTCTGTTACCCTTCACGTCCCTTCTCCCTCACCGGCACACTGCCTGGTATTCAGAAACTCCAGGGTGCACAGAGAGTGAACAAGCAAATGAGAAAGTAAATGCACATCTTAGCAAAGGGACAAAGTCACCAACCCACTGCCTACAACCTAAGTCCCTTACTACTCAGTGTTTGATGAGCACCTGATAAGTGTCCGACACTGGAGTAGGCCCTGGAGATAGGACACCAAGACAGACAGGACCCCTGCCCTCAGCAGCTTCCAGTCCACCTACCACTGTCACCCTGGCGGGGCAGGGACAAGGGTGAGATGAGGGAGAATATAATGCAAGCGTGGACTCAGACCCTACCTGTGTTTACAGTGTTCGTATTTTGTCACCATGAGTCTTTTTTTGCACTAATGTTTCTTTTTAAAAATACGGCATTAAAGTATTTTTCACCTCAACTGCTGAGTGTTCAGATGCCTCCCTTGTCGCACCCTAATCCTGGCCCTGGTCCGAAGTGGGATAGGCAACAAGTTGCTGAACATAACACAGTAGCCTGTGCAAGAAATAGCCGACGTGGTGCCCGCTGACTGCAGGTCCCATAGGACTGTGAGAGCGGCTGCGTGCGAGCTGGCTCTGTAGTGCCCACGGGGATGCCGAAGCCATTTCCCCAGGGCTTCTGCTCTCTCTGCAGGATACACACTCAGTTGGGAGTTGGGACTTTTTCATGGGTTTTTTTTTTTTTTTCCACCTGCTGACTCCAGCTGCATTTCCTCTGGGTGTTTTCCCACAGCAGCAGGCTTTGTTCCTGCTCAGACAGTTCCCACAGCAACCTTCGCTGTGAGCGAGTGACCAGGCACAGGGGCCCGAGGCCTCGGCTGGGTGCTCCCCTGATGCTCTGCTCCCCGTTGGCTGTTCCCTTCTCTACAGCAGCGGCGCCCTGTTCTTGACTGAGCCGTTCTGCCCACCCCACTTCCCACTGGACGGACCGTTTAGGTTTTCATGATCTGGTTGAGGAGAGCGCAGCCAACCAAAGCAAACCAAACCCAGACTGCGGCTTGAGCTTGCTGAGGTTTGCTTTGGCGATTCAGGGTGGGGTGGAAGGGTGCTCTTCCTGTGTGGACTGAAGGTTCTGGTGATCCAGAGAAGCAAGGAGGCTGGGACGGAGAGGAGGCTGCATGGCAGGGCTGACCCCGATGAAGATGAAATGAGCTGTGTGGGCAGTGCCGGCCCTGGAGAGAGGCTGGCTCTCATTCTGGAAAGCCCTCCCTGTTCATAGACTTCAGGGCCAGGGCTCACACGGGTCTGGGGATCCCCAAAGGAGCTTCAAAGACATAGTTAGCATTCGTTTCTCTCTTTAAAATAAATACAAATAAATCTTTTTTAAAAAGACAGAGTTACATATAGAGAGAGATGGAGAGAGAGAGAGGTCTTCCATCCGCTGGTTCACTCCCCAAATGGCCACAATGGCTGGAGCTGAGCCGATCCAGAACAAGGAGCCTCTTGCAGGTCTCCCGTGTGGGTGCAGGGGCCCAAGGACTTGGGCCATCCTCAGCTGCTTTCCCAGGCACATTAGCAAGTGGAACTGGATCAGAGGAAGAGCAGCCAGGACTCGAACCAGTGCCCATGTGAGATGCCAGTGCTGCAGGCTGGGGCATTAACCCGCTGCGCCACAGCACCGGCCCCCAGCATTCATCTCTTGCACCTTCCTCATGTGCCCTTGCCGCAACGTGGGCTACTCTACTCCAACCATAGGGCCAACTTGATCAAGTACTCTCCTTACCACAGCCCCACAACCCCTCCTCAATCCCTCTTCCGTGCCCGTCCACACTGTCCAGTGCCGTCTCAGCCACTGAGCTCCTGCTTGACCCCTGCACTCTTTGCCACCTCTCACCCTTGTCTGCTTCCTTTTCCATGAATTCTCCCCACTCCTGTTCCCCCAGCACTCAGAAACAATATCGTCCTTCACTGTCCCCCTGTGGTCCCTCAGCTCCCAGGTCCTCTGCCAGCAGAGCCCTGGTCACATGGTGGTGCCTCTGTCCCTTGGTGTGCCTGGCCTCCCCACCAGGGCATAACCTCCTTGCAAGTGGGACTGTGTGTTTTCCACCATGGTGTCACTGAGAGCAGTGCACCTGCTGGCACCAGTTATAGCCTCCAACAGGAGGCATGCTGGTCACTAAGTGTCAGGCCCCAAACTGAAGAGACAGGGTCCTGAACTTCAGCCCAATGTCCCCTGCCAAGCCACAGAGCCCACCTGTGCATCCAATTCTCTATGTAGCATCTCATTCCCTCTCTTGCCCGGCAGGTGCTTGATGTGTCTGGGGCGGATGTGTTGGCTAAGTCAATCACCAACTGCCAGGTGGAGCTTCTGGAAAACTGTGGGCACTCGGTGGTGATGGAGAGACCCAGGAAGACAGCCAAGCTCATGGTCGACTTTCTAGCCTCTGTGCACAACACAGACAACAACAAGAAGCTGGACTGAGGCCCGACTGCAGCCTGCATTCTGCACACGGCATCCGCTCCCCCCTCCTCCAAGCCTGACGCGGCCACCACTCTCAGGGATCCTGCCCCCAAGGTGGTCGGAGCGCCGGCGACCCCGAGGAAAGCCCGTCCTCAATCCCTGGTGTCCATGGTTCCACAGAGCTTGAGGGGCCACAAGGAAATCTCCAAGATCTTTTTCACAAAACAGAAACTCACCTGGAACAAGACAAGAAAACCCAGCCACGAAACCTACCGAGACGTCTTCAAGTTCATATCGCTGACTAGCTTGTCCAAAGCAGCCCCCTTGGACTGAAGTCACGGACGACACTTTGTTTTGAGACATTCCTCACGGACTGAGACTCCAGATACTTCTGTTGCTTCCGCCGTCTTCCCCTGCATGGTCAGTGCCTTCGATAGGAGCGTTAGTCCCCATTCGCTGAACCTTCTTGTTTAAGTCTAACTCAAGTTTTCTGTAAAGAACCCACACGTGATTGCAGCCCATTGGCCCCAGGGCGTGAGGGGAGAGTGGCCAGCTGGAGAACAGGTTTCTGTGTGGAGGGCCGTGAGTCCATCTTGGCCAGCCTGAGCAGTGAAGAACACAGGTGGGTGCTTTGTGGGCCATCCACGAGTCAGGGACGTCGTGAGTGAACCCTGGACAGTCACAGAAGGAAGAACACCTGAACGCCTGGCCGGGTGGGTGTCCCCTGGCTAATGCATTATTTTTAAAAATAGGACTAATAAAGCAATAACGTTCCAGACATCCATCTAAGTGAGCAGACTCAAGTTCCGCACTCGAGAAACTTGTGGGCCTCTTTTGTATTTTGCTGTGCTACTGAAAACCCTTGGATGTGAAAGACGAGTTTGCCAATGGATTCTGTGAATTCTGTGAACAATAACGTGGTTGAAAACAAATCTGAAACAGCTGGAAAACTGACCACATTGACATGAAATGAGTTTAATGAAGTCTCGATCAGCAACATGCAGGTGGTTTCTATTTTGCACTCCAAGTTTAAGTGCAGTTTTGGCGGATTTTCTGTTAACTTTAAAATGTGTTTCCAAGTGCTGCTTGTTCTACATGAGATGGAAATCTGCTTGGATGAGTGATTAGTTTCAACTTAACAAATCATGTTTGCAGTCTTTGCTCAACTGAAAGCACCATCAGTCTGTCACTCTGACTCCTTTCTGTTGTGTTTAGGAGCCATAAACTCCCCAGGAATTTCATTCTTTAAAAGAAGGTCTACAGCCAGGTCGTTCTGAAAATAAAGTGGTTTAAACTTTATAGTTTAAATTGGCATTCAGGACTTGGTCTGAATAATTTATCAGAGAAGAGTGGAACACAGACCTTAAAAACAAGAAGATATGAAAAATGTCACATCAAACTTGTGGGATGTAGCTAAGGCTGTGCACAAAGGGAAATTCATAGGCTTAAATACATGTATCAGAAAGGAAAGACTGAAAATACATTACGTTTCCATCTCAAGAAACTAGAAAAGAAACAGGAAATCAAAGCCAGAGAAAACTAGAACAAGTAATACAGATGAAAACAACAATCAGTAGAATAGAAAAGAAAGTAGATATTAGATATTTGACTTGTTCTAATCTCCTGTGCTCACCACAAAATTCTGAGCTTTGTGAGAGAGGGAGTCAGTCTTGCTGGGGCTGGGTGGTGGCAGATGGTTTCCTCAGGATTGCTGCAGAAGTCCTAGTCCTGCCCTGGGATGAGGCTGAGAAACCCCACTGGGGGCAGGAATTCATGTGCTCTGGGTGGGGAAACAGCTGAGGATCACATTGGAGGAAGCTGCTGCACTGTGCCCTCAGTGGGGTCATTTAGGCAGGATATGTGCTGTCCCTCCCAGCCCAGGACAGTGGGCAGGTTCTAGCGCACGTCATGGCTCCCACCCCCTCTGCCACAAGAAAGCATTGACTAGAAGTCAATGTGCCAGTCATCTTTTACAGCCCTATTATGTGGGTTTCCAAAGCTCTCTCGTGGTACAATTCTAGCCCCACCAAGAGAGGGGAGGAGAACCCTGGTGCCCCACTTGCCACCTTAGTGATTACAACAAGCCAGCCAGTGTCCCACCCCCACGCCAGACCCACTGGGCCCTAGGGCATGTGCCTTTGATGATGGTCTTGGAAAGAAGAAAGGAATCGGGTCATCATTCTTGCATGACAGCCAGAAACTCGACAGTAACAATGGAAAGCCCCGGGAATCACAGCTGGGCTCTTGATCCTACTGCCTAGAGTTGTTGTCTTCAGGGCTGCTGTAGCTGCAACCACCACCCCGGACAGGCACTGAAGATGCACACACAGTGGTTAGGACTCCGTTTGCCATCAGTCTGGGCTTCTTGTCCAGGACAGGGATGACACGAGCAGGGACTGGTGTGACATGCACCAGTTTGCTGGCACTGCCTGTTTGTGAGTCCGTGTCTTCCCTTTCTCCATCCCTTCTCAGCCAATACTGAAGGATTGCAGTGTGTGCGCTGGGCCAGGCTGGAGGACTGAAGCTCACAGCTCCGTGCCTGGTGCAGTTCTGCATGTTTTCCATGCATTGCCTTAGGAAACTTCCAACTCACTGAGGTCTGAACAGCACTGCCCTTTACAGAAAAGGAAGCAGAGGCACAGAGAAGTGTTAAGTCTCGCTCGAGGTCACACAGCAAACACCTAGAGGCAAGTCAGCCCCTCAGTTTGTAATTGAAGGTGTTGTGAAAACAGTGCTTTCAGGGTGAGAGTTTAGCCTGGCAGTTAGGACTGGTTAAGATGCTCACATCCTATATCAGAGCTCTTGGGTTTGATGCCTGGCTGTGCCCCCGACTCCAGCTTTCTGCCAGTGAAGACCCTGGGAGGCAGGAGTGAAGGCTCAGGTAATTGGTTTCTGGGAGTGGGTGTTTGGTGCAGCAGTTAGGATGTCACTTGGGGCACCCACATCCCATACTGGGGAGTGTGGGTTTGAGGACTGGCTCAGCTCCTGATTCCAACTTCCTGCTGATTTAGACCCTAGGAGGCAGCAAATGATGGTCCAAGTAGTTAGGTCCCAGCCACCCATGGAGGAGAATCAGAGGGAGTTCCAGGCTCTTGCCTCCATCTGGCCCAGACCCAGCTGTCATGGACATATGAAATAGCAGATAGAATAACTCTGTCTCTCTCTTCCTTTCAAGTAAATAAACAATTTTTGAATTAAAAAGTAGGGGCCAGTGCTGTGGCATAGCGGGTGAAGCCGCTGCCTGCAATGCCAGCATCCCCATATGGGTGCCGGTTCAAGTGCTGGCTGCTCCACTTCTGACCCAGCTCTCTGCTATGGCCAGGGAAAGTAGTGGAAGATGGCCCAAGTCCTTGGGGCCCTGCACGGTGTGGGAGACCCAGAACAAGCTCTGGGCCCCTGGCTTTGGATCGGCCCAGCTCTGGCTGTTGTGAGCATTTGGGAAATGGACCAGCAGATGGAAGACCTCTCCCCTCCTCCTTGCAACTCTGCCTTTCAAATAAATAAATAAATCTTAATAAATAATTAGGCCCCTGCCAGCCACATGGGAGACCTGGCCTGAGTTTCCAGCTCCCAGCTTCAGCCCAGCCCAGCCCTGACTGTTGTGGGCATTTGAGGGGTGAACCAGTGGATGGATCTTTGTCAAATAAATAAAAATTACAAACAAAACATTGCTTTCACTGGTTCAAATGAGCCCTCCCATGCAACCTACCAATCAAGCCTAGGGCCCTGTTGGCTCACTTGGACTGGCCTGAATGCAGGTGCTTTAGCAACTGATGGCTGAGGCCACACCTCCTGGCATGGGCCTCGGTCATTCCTTCAGCATAGTTAAGGGCCTCCAGCCTCCTGATGGGGTGGAAGCGGAGCTCACAGGATGCTGCCTTCCTTCTGCCAGGGGCAGACCAAGGCACAGATTGCCCTCCTCATTCCTGCCTCTTGAATAACCGGGACTGGCTTCTTGCCCACCCTGGAAGGTCTCATTCACCACGTGGGTACCCCTCCCTTCCCCCATTCTCTGGTGTTTGTCCAAAGCAGTTTCCGCTTTGAGAGGCCCTGGCTCAGTCTCCTTGTCTCTCTGGGGTCAGGCGTGGAAAGCTGACACACGGTGTGCCCTGTTCCTCCCAGCTGCACAAGGCTCTGCTGGGGTCAGCTCAGGCGCCTTGAAGGGGATCCAACTGGCCAGGGACTTTCTCAATGCCTTCGGACACATTGGGGGTTGAGTTTTTCTCAAAATTTCTTAAAGAACGACCTCCCATCTTCTGGTTCGCTTTCCAAATGCCTGCAACAGCCAGGGCTGGGAGCTCCCCCCATGTAGGTGGCAGTTATTTGAGCCATCACCACTGCACATTAGCAGGGAGCTGGAACGAGAAGTGGAGGCAGGACTCAACCCCAGGCACTGATGTGGGGTGCCAGTGTCCCAAGCAGTGCCTTATCTGCTGTACCAAATGCCCCTCCTGGGAAGACGGGGTTCTGACAGTTCATTGACGTGAGACCAAAGCCGCTGGACGGCAATGACTGTTGTCCGCGGCTGGCTCCTGGGGAGGCGCTGCCTGGACATTCACAGAGCGTGGGCGCACAGTCCCTCTCCCAAGCTCTCAGGGCCAGGTGGCGTCAGAACTCAGAGATGTTCCAATTCAGAAATGTCTGCAGGTGTCCACACAAAGCATATCACCCCCGCGGTGGGTATGGGGTCCTCCCTCACCATCAGATACGCCCACACTTCTGCCAGGCACGATGCGCAGGCGCACACCCACCGCCAGTGGGCCAGAAGCTGCACACAGCCTCTCCTTAGCTCAAGTTGAGCATCGGTTTGATTTCCGGGTTTAGGATTGCAGATAAGGGGTGGGGCCCTGCCTCTCGTTCCCCTCTCCCACCCTTGGGGGGGGGGGGGCGTTACACTGAGGAAGTGGCTGTTCTTCCACTGGGGAAGGATAGAGCAGCCAGCACATGGTGTGGGCCACAGCTCCCTCTTGTGCCTGACTCTCAGTAGCGGGTCCTGATTTTACTGAATAGTGTTGTGACAGTGATCACCGTCTCTTTAAAATAAATCAGAATGAACGCTAATGACTTGCAAGTCTCCTACACCCTCCACACAGCCCACCCTTCACATCTGTGTGCACACACACCTGTAGAGAGGATTCATTTTTTACAGAAATGGGGGTCAAGCTGGATGTCACCCTCCCCTTGCTCTACTCATTCGTCTACCTGGGGGAGGCGGAATAGAACCTTCTGTGCTGGGGCCTGTGACTTCTCAGACAAATGACCTAACTTCTGTAGCTCCGTTTTCCTCGTCTGTGAAAGGGGGTGGTAAGAGTGACATCGCACAGCCAATGGGGTACTGTGCGCAAGCAGTCTGGCGCCTGGCAGGTCTCCCTAACCAGAAGCATTGGCCGCAGTTCCACAGCTTTGAACTTGTGATCATGATCACTTTCTCTGTCCTGTCTCCAATCTGCGGACATAAGTGGGTGCGATTCCCATTGGCTGGCTGGATGGGTGGGTGGAGATGCATGGGGCTGGAATACCAGTTGAGAAAGCGCCCCACCTCTTACAACATCCGCTTGGTGTTGGTTAGCAAGGCCCAGCGAGGAGCCCCATGGCAGAGGGGAGGCATGGCCCTGACACTCTCTTGGCTGCCTTGTCTTCCAGGAACACGAAGTGCTCAGATCTGCCCCAGCAACTTGGCTCTGAGTCACAGAGACACACAGGGTCTCCCAAGTGGCCCCTGGAGAGACAACTCACTCCATCCAACGCAGTTCAGGGCAACTTTACAAAGTCTGAGGCATTTTTGTGTTCGTGTTTAAAGACTTATTTATTTGGGAGAGAGAAAGAGAGCTTCTGTCTGTTGTTTCACTCCCCCAAACCCCTGCAGTAGCCAAAGCTGCACCAGGACAAAGCCAGCAGCCAGGAATTCAGTCTGAGTCGCGTACCTGAGTGGCAGGGGACTAAGTATTTGGGCCATCATCTGCTGCCTCCCAGGCACATTAGCAGGAAGCTGGCTTGGAAGCAGAGTAGCCAGCACTCCAGTAGGGGATGCCGGTATCCCAAGTGGCAGCTTACCCTGCTGTGCCACAATGGCCGCCCCTGTGTGTCTTGATTTGGACTGATGTTGGGATTATGTCACTGGGAAGGAAAAGCCCCCATCCCGAATCTCTGGGAGGGAGCTTCAGAAGGTGGTTTCCTTTGGCCATGGAAGAGGCGGAAGGGAGACCTAGTTTTCATGAAGTCACCCTCCACGTCTTTGAAATGGATGCTAGAAGCTTTAGTACCTATTTTAAGAGTAACCTTTAACTAAAAATCAAGTTACCCACCCATATCTTTATCCTTCAAAGGAATCCGTTTAGTCCTCAACTCTGGAATAGCAAACAGCACTGACAGACATTTTGGGCGATGGGGAAGGTATTTCTGTTACCGGGAGTTCCGTCCCTGTCCCGCTGCCAATCACAAAAACGAGGACAGGGTTTGGGATGAGGGAAAGGGAACTTTCATCCACTGACAGCCGGGAGGGTGCCAGGTCTCCAGGTCTTCAGGTCGACCACCTCGTAACTGAGGGTGTTGGTGGGGGGAAGGGGGATTAAACAAGGCTCCAGGGAAGCGGATGCTGGGGTGTCGAAATCGCCAAGGAGCCGCGGGGCTCAGGTGTTAGGGCCAAGGCCTGTCGCCAGACCCAGGGTGGCCTTTGAGGTCCGCAGGGGGTGTGGTGGGTGATACCTGGTTAGGTCGGCGGCTCTGCACAGGAAGCTGAGACAAGGAACATGCAACGTGTGCATCAGGACATGGGCAGGGGGGAAGCCAGCCGTCCAGCTCTGAAGCATCGGCCTCCCGGCCTTCCCTTTAGCCTAAGCAGTTACAGTGGCCTGTTATTTTATACCTGGGTACACCTCACTGTCGGGTTTGGTGCAGGAGGAGGGTGAAGGTTACCCAAGGTTCTTTGAACCCCCAAATACGTGAGCTGTCCTTGCTTTTCTTTTTTCCTTTATTTAATTCATTTTGAAAGACAGAGAGAGAGAGAGAGACAGAGAATCTTCTGCTGGTTGACTTCCCAAATGCCCACAACAGCCAGCGCTCGGTCAGGCTAAAGCCAGGAGCCAGGAATCCAGTCTGGGTCTCCCACGTGAGTGGCAGGGACCCAAGTATGTGCCAAGCGCCCGCCCCACTGCTCTGGAATTTGTGGCCCGCGGGCTGGCAGGCTGTGTTTACCAGGCGGCAGGAGGACAGGGACTCTCATGCCGAGTGTTTCCTGGGTGGCAGACACTTTGTACTGCCGACTCACAACCCGGTGGGGTAGATGCTACTGATCTCTACTCCATGGGAGAGACTAGGAAGCTGGATAAGTGGCAAAGGATGTTTGGAAGTGTGTTATGGCAGCTTCTGAAATCCAAGCTTTTTTTTTTTTTTTTTTTTTGAGAAAGAAAGTGCCACTGTGTCTGAGGTCTGCATTGAATTTTTCCATGTCTTTCTCATGTGGACCAAGCCCTGTCTCCTTTGAAGGAGAAGAAAGGGACGCAGGAGCCACATGACGGGGGAGCACGGCCAAGGCCAAGGCCTGAGGTTTCAGGAACCAGCAGAGGGTGGAAATCTGAGAATAGCAATGAGGGAGAAGGGCCTCACAGACCCAGGCTCAGGCTTGGCTGTGCAAGGCAACCACTGGCCGCCCCACACTCCCAACCAAAGCAGGATCAGCATCTCTCGTCTATGAACGAATGCATTCTGTGAATGCATGCCGAGTGGGTGCACTGGCAGCGCTGAGCCAACGCAGACGAGGCCTTGTCCGCAGGGGGCTTGCGCTGCAGCTTCCCTCCCACCCAATCCTCAGTGCAGCGGGGAGAGCGCCGGCTAGAACCTGACAGCCCGTTCCACCACTTCTCACTGTGTCGTCTTGGGCAAATCGCTTAGCCTATCTGTGCTTCAGTTTTCACTCCTGCATGGTTATAATAGCTACCTCAGGACTGTGAGGTGGTTCCACAAGGTGACCTGTGTAGAATTTTTTGCATAGTGCCTGGCGCACATTAAGCACTTGAGAAATACTCACCGTTGTTATTATTGTTGTTGTTATTATTAAATAAGTCCACCGAATTCCCAGCACCCAGAATTCCCAGCACCTAGAGCTGGTACTGTGGGGCAGCAACGGACGCTGGCATCCCACGTCAGAGCACTGCTCTGACTCCTGGCTGCTCTGCTTCTGATGCAGCTCCCTGCTAATGCATCTGAGAACTCAGCAGATGACGGCCTGGGTCCTTGGGCCGCTGTCACTGGTGTGGGAGACCCAGACAGAGTTCTGGGCTCTTGGTGTCCGCCTAGTGGCTGTTGTGGCAATTCGGGGCGAGAACCAAGGAGTGGAAGATCTCTCTTTCACTTTGCCTTTCCAAATCATAAATCTGAAAAAATAAATAAATAAATAAATAAATAAATAAATAAATAAATAAAAAGGCCAGCGCCGCGGCTCACTAGGCTAATCCTCCGACTGTGGCGCCGGCACACCGGGTTCTAGTCCCGATCGGGGCGCTGGATTCTGTCCTGGTTGCCCCTCTTCCAGGCCAGCTCTCTGCTGTGGCCAGGGAGTACAGTGGAGGATGGCCCAAGTGCTTGGGCCCTGCACCCCATGGGAGACCAGGAAAAGCACCTGGCTCCTGGCTCCTGCCATCGGATCAGCGCGGTGCGCCGGCCGCAGCGCGCTGGCCGCGGCGGCCATTGGAGGGTAAACCAACGGCAAAGGAAGACCTTTCTCTCTGTCTCTCTCTCTCACTGTCCACTCTGCCTGTCAAAAAATAAAAAATAAAAAAAAAAAAAAACACAGACAAGAATAGTGCTGAGTGCACAACAGGCACTCAGCGCGGAGTTAGTGAACAAACGTATGGATGAAGCTTGGCTTACGTTTGCAAACAGGACCAGGTGGGTCTTTTCGTGTCCACTCAGAGCACCTCCTATGTGCTGGCAACCACAGGGGACACTGAGGGAAGGTGCTGTCCGTCTTTGGGAGGTGCTGGGTACAGCAGAAGTTAAGCAGCGGAGATGCTAGACATCTACTGGCTGAAAAACCGAATGCATGAATAAATGAATGCCATGAAGCACTCTGCGGGGCTGCATACACACACCTCACGACCCGCACTCCGAGCACCCGGGGCGCCCCCAGGTTTCTCCCGAGTGGACACCAGAGGGCGCTGAGCTCCGCAGGGCTCACATCCCGAGGAGGATTCACGCCTGGGTCCTGGGGCGGACGCCGCGCGGTGACGTCACATCCGCCAGGACGGCACGCTTCCGGGGGCGGGACAGGAACAAGCCAAACGAAAACTTACCGGGAGTTTGCCGGGCCCAGGCGCTGGCAGTCCCTTAGGGGCTCCAGACCTTGGCGGATATTCGGAGCGAACCGGAGTCAGAGGAGGAGTCTTGCTCGTCCAACCGAGAGCAGGTAGGCGGAAGCCCTGGGGCGGCGGTTGTGTTCTGGACGTGCGCTCAGTCGGCCGCGCGGGTGTCCCCGGGCGCGTGCGCCGGGGTAGAGCGACCGGGAGGGAGGAGCCGGGCCGCAGGAGGTGCTGGGGGGCTCCAGCCGATCGTCCTCCCCGGTGTCGGTCTCGGCCGCGCCGGGCGGCCGGGAGGACTAAGCGGGCCCAGGGGACAGTGTGCTGCATCAGCGGCGGTCGCCACTTGGAAACGATGGAAAACGTAGGTCCCTAAGTCGCTGGGGGTTGATTTGTTGAAATAATTGAGTGAAAGTGTGGAGACCGCCTGCCGTATGCGGGGCCCTATTGTCGGTCCCTGGAGAAGGGCAGTGAGCCGGACGGAGCCGTGGACACCCTGCCGGGGCAAGGAGAGGAGGAGGGGGAGAGAGAACGTGAATTGCGGGTCTGTTACTAGCTGGCAGACGCCCGGGGTGGGGGGTGGGGGGCGAACAGGGCCCGAGGCGGGGCCGGGGGTCGTCGCGGTGTTAGGATGGGCACCGGGCCACGTGGAGGGGAGTCGGGGAGGCCTAGAAGGAGGCGGCGGGAGGAAGGGCGGTGCGTAACTGGCGGGAGAGCCTGGTGCGTGCGCGGCCCGTGTGCTGGAAGGGACGAGTGCGGGCCGTGGCGGGAGCAGCGGTGCGGGGTGCGGCAAGGGCCTCCCGGCAGGCGCACCCGGAAAGAGTCTGGCCTCGCTCTAGACAGATCCGGAGGCGTGGCGAAGTTCTGGGCAGAGCAGTGATGAACCTGAGTGGGGTCTGGTGGATTCTGTGGCTGCGGGGGAGGGGCACAGGGGCGGAATCGGAGACCCTTGGTACCGACAGGGCAGTTTCTAGGCTTCCCTGCCGCCCCTGAGAAGGCTGGCTTCAGAGGTGAAGTGGACCGTGACTCCAGGCGTGCTTCCGTTTGGTGGCGGGCCTGGGGGCCGTGCCAGGCTCATCTTTACTTTCAGAACAGCCTGCAGAGGGCGCTGGTGTCACTGAGGAGTCCGGTTTTTGGCGAGCTCATGTGTTCCATGAGTTTGGAGAGGTGTTTTTTTTTTTTTTTTTTGTAATATATGTGTAAGGTAAAACATCGTTTGATCCATTGTTTTTATTTATTTATTTATTTTTTGACAGGCAGAGTGGACAGTGAGAGAGAGACAGACAGAAAGGTCTTCCTTTGCCGTTGGTTCACCCTCCAGTGGCCACCATGGCTGGCGCGCTGTGGCCGGCGCACCGCGCTGATCCGAAGGCAGGAGCCAGGTGCTTTTCCTGGTCTCCCATGGGGTGCAGGGCCCAAGCACCTGGGCCATCCTCCACTGCACTCCCGGGCCACAGCAGAGAGCTGGCCTGGAAGAGGGGCAACCGGGACAGAATCCGGCACCCCGACCGGGACTAGAACCCGGTGTGCCGGCGCCGCAAGGCGGAGGATTAGCCTAGTGAGCCGCGGCGCTGGCCTGATCCATTGTTGTGTGCAGTTAGGTGGCATTAAGTGCATTCTGACTGTTGGGCAGCCACCATCGGTATCCATCTCCCAAATGCCCAGGGTCAGCAACTCCTTCGAAGCACTTGGAAATACTTGAGAAAGCACCTATCATGTGCCAGGCACTGAAAGAAGTAGATGCGATTTTTGCTGTTTTTGCGCTTCTGGTTAGGCGGGGCTCTGGGGGCAGGTGGACGGTCACTGTGCTGTCCTGAAGCCAGAGGCGCAGTTGAACATAGGGTCCCCCGCTGCCGCCGTTCTCTGAGCTCTGTGTCCTCCAAGCCAGACACAGAAAACGCTGAGGTCTGTTGAATGGATGTGTGGATGGAGCTCCTGCCGTCCGGCTTGTGCTTGTCTCTGGGCTCTTCGTCTGGAAATGGGCCTGAACCTGAGAGGTTTTGAAAATGCTCGTCTGGATCTCTGTGACCTTGGCCTAGTTCTTCTCTGTGCTTGGGCCTCAGTTTCTGGGTCTCGGCAGTGGGGAGCCCAGATACTAAGCAAACAGGCAGTGTCAAGACGTCCTATAACGTGAGCATTCCCGAGAGGGCGGCAGAAGGGCTCGAGGGGGAGGCCGGGGGAAGAGGAACCGGAGGGCAGCACTCTGCGGGCCTCGAGCGTGCTCTGAGTTCTCGGAAGGCCCAGACCTCAGCAATGGCTCTGAGTGCCCATTCCAGGAATTCCTCAGTCTCTCACGGAGCTGCCAGGTGGTCCTGCCCAGACCTGACCCTGGACCGAGAGCAGGTTCACCTGGAAGGGGGGCAGTCAGCTGCTTGTTCGTGCTCTGGGCTGACTCAGAGTAAACCAGAAAGGGGCCCGCAGGTCTCAGGTTTGGCTCCTTTATGTTTTCATTTTTTTCCTCTGGATCCAGAGGCACCATTCCAGGGCAGTCTTGCCATGGCAGAGTAGGTAGAGCCTGGGCCAGGCGCTAGCCATGAGGGCGGTAATAGTGTCTGCCTCATAAAATCGCTTTGAAGGCGCAGAAGCTAAGGCATGTGCAGTGCGTAGTGCACACTGGGTGCTTAGTAAGGAGAAATGGGAGCTGGCTTGTTACTGAGGTGGAAGTGAGGGCAGTGGTCTGGCATATTGAACAATATAGCAGCTTCCTTGTATCTGTGGGGTGACCTGCATTTGACCAGAATTAGATAAGTTGCTGTCCTAAGAAGTCACTTTAAAATAAGTCATATTCTTATTAAAAGTGTGAAAAATAGCATTTTAATTTTTAAAGGTTATTTATTTGGAGGCAGAGTGATGGAGAAGAGGGGAGAGACAAAGAGAGCTCTTAGCTGTTGATTTGCTCCACCCCGAACTGCTGCAACAGCCAGGGCTGGGCTGGGCAGGAGCCAGGAGTAGCAGAGGCCCAAGCACTTTAGCCATCCTCTGCTCCTTTCCCAGGCGCATTAGCAGGAACCTGGATCAGAAACAGGGTTGCTGGGGTTCAAACTGGTGCTCCAATATGGGATGCTGGCATTGCAGGTGGCAGCTTAACCAGCTATACCACGATGCTGGCCCCAAGAGCACATGTCTTGGTAATCTCCATCCCTCTTGATTTGCTGTAGGTGTGATCAGCATTGGAAAGGATGGAATTCGAAGAGAGCTGGTCTCAAAGAATAATGCGCATAGATCCCTCCGACTACCACTACATGAAAGTCCGCCTGTGAGTTCAGTCTCCTAAGTTCTATTTTAAATTACTTTTTAATAGACTTGAGCAGCATAAAATTTAACATAATGATGTCTCCCTCTTTCTTTTTTTCTTTGTAATATTCCTTGCAGAGAATTTGAAGAACACGGAATTGGACTGAACGCTGCACAGTTCAAGCAGCTGCTTGTCTCAGCCCTGCAGGAGCTGTTTGGGGAGGTAGGGAGTCACTAGATGCAGTGGACAGTCTGACGTTTCTTTGTAAGAAATACAGAAAGAACACTTTCCAAATGTTATTTTAAAACTGGATTTGGAATCGCAGAAGCTGACTTAGAAATCAAGAATTTGGAGCAGGTTTGTGCTAATGTGCCTTCTATTTGACAAGGATCTTGTTAGACAGATGTTGTGTTCCAGCTCAGAGATACTCAAGGTATGGTCCCAACTTGACAGCCTGCAATCTGTTAGGTTTATTTGTTTGCCAGTCTTCAAGATAGGAGTTCACACCAGAACCAGCACGCTACTTCCGTTGATGAGAAAGCTTGTAAGAAGGTGCGAGTAAACGAAACATGCAGTTGCTGTTCATTCTCACAGACCAGCACCTGGTCAGCTTGTCTTAGCATTCAGTTGAGAACAGAAATAGAAATCTGAAAGCTAAGCGAGAAGACAAGACAGGATTCTCAGCAAACTACTTCCTGGTTCATGTATTGTATCAAAATTTGCTAAGTTCCTTAGAAAATATAAAACTTGTACTCTGTAAAAAACCTTGCTAAGAGGGTGAAAACACAAATTACAGACAGAAAAGTGGTGTTAATAGATAAGTTTATTTTGGTGCAAAAATTTTTGAAATCCATGCATGGTTTGTCCATAATAGGCATTTTCCATGAACTTTTTGAACTTCCCTTGTGTTTACAAAGCACATATCCAGCAAAGGACTCAAATCTAGAATGTAGAAAGAGCTCTGAAGACTTCATAGTAGGTGTGGATGTTACAGTGTGGTGTGTTGATCTGCTGCTTAGGACGCTTGCATCCCATATGCAAGGGCCTGAGATCTAGTCCCGCCCTGCTTCCCATCAGGCTCCCTCTAGTGCGCCTGGGAGGAAGCAGATGATGGCTGAAGTACTTGGTCCCGTGCTACAGTGTGGGAAACCCGGATGAAGTTCCTGACTCCTGACATTGTCCTGTCCAGCTCCGGCTGTTGCAGGCATTGGGGAGTGAACTAGCAGATGCAAAGTCTCTCACTCTGTCTCCTTCTGTCACTCTGCCTTTCAAATAAATAAATCTTTAACAACAACAACAAAAACTTAATAGTAAATAACCTAACAGTCAAACTAGAAAGTGAACAAAAACCATGAAAAGACATCTCACTAAAGAGGATGTGCATTTGGCAAAAGCAGCTGAAAAGATGTTTAACCTTACCTATTAAGGAAATGCATGATAAAAACACAATGCGAAATCAGTGTGTACCTGGCAGAATGAATGAAGTAGAAAAAGCAGTAATACTAAATGCTGACAAGGAAGCAGAGAAATTGGGTCCCTCATGTGAACTGCAGCTGCTCCGCTGTGTGCTTTAGCAGCTTCTGGAGAAAACGGAGCAAGCACCTACCTCCCAGCCCCAACAGAGCACTCCTACGCACTTACTCTGGAGCAGTGCAGCTTGTATGTGCAGATGTTCCAAAACCTAGACACACCTCGGCTGTCCTGCAGTGGATGAATGAATGAACTATGGCACAGTCCTACTGTGAAGTATACTCAGTGGTAAAAAAGGATCAACTGTTGATGCACACAGCTTGAATTTCCAGAGAATGATGCTGAGTTAAGAAAGTTATCCTGGAATATTATACACTCTTGAAATAGCATCATTATATGATTTGGAGAAAGATCAGTGGTTGCCAGAGTTTAGGGACAGAGTTGGGGGGGGGGGGGGCACGAGGTGTGGCTATAAAGGGGTTGGAGTGAGGGGATCTTGAAAGGTTCAGTTTTTTGTCCTAATTGTGGTGGTAGTTATATGAAGCTACCTGTGAACTACATACAACTAGCAAATACAAGTCTGTGTATAACTGGTACAGTATGAATTGAATCTGTATTGTACCAGTACCATTTTCCTGGTTTTGAGACTGTGCTGTGGTCATACAAGACCCTGACATTGTGGGGAGGTGAGGTGAAGGGTGCTTGGAACCTCCTTGTACATTCCTCCGTAATATTCCCTGAGTCTATAATTTTTCTAGATAAATTTTTTAAAACCTGTGCACCTTCTATGTCAGGTATGAAACCTGATTCCTGAATCTATACCTGTAAACAGATGTGACCTCTGCCTCACAGTGTAGTGCTCATGGTTCTGAGATAGGAAAACGTGTCCAGCACTGACAGTGAGGAGGAGGCGGAGGAGGAAGAGTGGTGTCCAGTGGGGGAAGAGCACAGCGAGCAGATTGAGCCTCATGGTGAGGATCTGGGAAGAGCAGGTTAAACCAAGGTGAGGAGGCATCAGCACATGAAGAGGTTTGAGAGGAGCATTCTAGGCAGGGGAGTGGTAAGACAACTCAGTGCCAGCACCATTGAATACAATGCTGCTTTTCAAAGGTGGCTCAATTATTTGGGTCCCTGTCACCCCTGTGGCAGACCTGGAAGAAGCTCCTGGCTTCTTTAACTGTAACAGCCACCTGGGGAGTAAACCAGCCAATGGGAGCTCTCCCTCTCCTTCCTTCTCTGTCCCTGTAACTCTTTCAGATACCTAAAATACTTCTTTTTTTTTAAAGATTGCTGTTTGTTGTAGAGGAGAAAGACTCAAAGAATGGACAGGGTTAGTTGTTAGAGTTGAAGAGTAATGATGATAATAGTCTGCTGATAGCGTCCTCTCATATGTAGGTTGGTGCCGCCCTGCCCTTCGACGTCCTCACCTACGAAGAGAAGACCTTGTCAGCCATCTTGAGAGTATGTAACAGGTACGGCAGCTAGTGGGGCATTTCTGGTCTAACAGGGCAGGAAGGCTGGTGGGGAGGTAGAGCAAAGATGCTCTCTTCTGAGAATGAGAAGAACGTGGTTGTGTGTTCTGAGCAACTTCTGGGAGTTTGAACTGGAGTGGATATGAACGTTCACAGCCAGCTGCTGACCGTCTGTAGAGAGGAATGTGGGATTTGGTAACAGTTAGAGGGCTTCTCGTTTGCTGGGATGACTACAAAGTCAGAAATGTGCATTTTAGAAACAGTCTTACTGGAGGTTCAATTATTCTCTGTGACACATTATGCTTTTTATTTTGGGTTGGTAGGGGTTGTTGATTTATTTAAATGAGGCTTTCTAGTAAGAAAGCAGCCACTGGAGGGGCCACGCGGACAGAAGTGCTGGGGAGGTAATGTGGGGACAGAGCTTTATTTATGTTTCCTTGATCTTTCTGCAGTGGTTTTGTCAAATTGTGGAGCTCTCTGACCATGTTAGGATCCTATAAAGGCAACAAGTGTGCTTTCCGAGTGATTCAGGTAAACCATCCCCTCACGTACCCCACAAGGCTGCGTGGCGGTGAGCTGCTTTTCAGCGTGTGTGAGGGAACTTCAAAAAGTGTATAGAAAAAGAAAAAGGTTGATTTAGGTGCAAGACGTTTTGAAATGCATGCCCAGCTTCTGCATCGCACTCATTCCCCACTGGCTTTCTGAGGTGTCCTCGTGTGCTTCCTTCTTGCGCTCGAACAAAACTGGGATGGTTACCGCCATCTGGCTAGGAAGAAGCACAGAGTCCTGCAGTGACATGGGAAAGGGGAGAGGGTCGGGGATAGATTCGGACTCTTGTGATAAAGGCTTCATGTTTCCTTTAATGCTGATGCCTCGTGTGCTAGGTGGTGGTCTGTTGTGTCTGAGCTTCTGACCACTTGTGTAGCTGAGGATGCCCGTGACAGCGCCCTGCCTCGGCTTTGTTTACCCTGTGAGTGCTGTCTCCTCACGAGGCTGTGTTAACCCTTTGTCTGTCTTGTAGGTTTCTCCATTTCTCCTTGCGTTATCTGGTAATAGTAGGGAGCTCGTGTTGGATTGAAATGTCAAGTGCAGACACCTTCTTCTGCTGTCAGAATATTCTTTGGCGCCCACCTAGCACCTGAAGGCAGAAGCAAGCCAAGAGCCACTGTGGGTGCTGAAGATGTTCCCCGTGATCTGCAGCTGTCGCCTTTGGTGGGGTCAGCTGCGGCGGAGCGTCTGCCTGAGTCGCCCTGTGCTGAGCGGGCAGCGCTGCGAGTGCGTGCACATCCGAGTTGGAGACCGGGCCGAACTGAGCAGGGCTTTCACTCAGAGCGACGTGGCTGCCTTCTCGGAATTAACGGGAGACGTCAATCCTTTGCACGTAAACGAAGAGTTTGCGAAGCACACCAGGTTTGGGAAGACGATTGTGCACGGGGTGTTGATCACTGGACTCATCTCAGCGCTCCTGGGCACAAAGATGCCAGGGCCCGGCTGTGTGTTTCTTTCCCAGGAAATTCACTTTCCAGCGCCTTTATATGTCGGAGAAGTTGTTTTGGCGTCGGCGGAAGTGAAGAAACTGAAGCGGTTCATTGCTGTCGTTGCAGTGTCGTGTCGTGTAGTAGAAAGTAAAAAGACCGTTATGGAAGGCTTGGTGAAAGTCATGGTCCCAGAAGCTCCCAGATCCTGAAGTAGGTGTGCAAAGGTGCAAGTTCACACCCAAGAGCTGCAGTTATTAAAAAGCACCTGGCTTAACAGGGACTGTCTCTCTTCCCCGGGGGTGGCCTGTGTTAGGGGAGGGGTGTTCGAATGTGCGCTTTCCAGCTTGGCCACAAGTGCCACAGGCCAGAGTCTGTGCCCCAATCCATCACCTGCCGAGACTTGCAAACTGAAAAACTCCCGGGAAGGTTATTCATCTAAGGCTCAGCTTTGTGAATTTCAAACCCAGACGTGCGTTTGTTAGCACGAGTGTGCCCTTGTCTGTGCAGGAGTTTCTCACAGACGTCGCTAGTGGCATGCAGTAATAGGAGGTGGGTCGTTTCTGAACATGTGCTCTTTACCAGAAGTATTCCTGGGCCCTGGTTTTCAGTCATTTTGGGGTCAGAGTTCATAAATGTGACTGTTCACAACAAGACGACTTCCTGTCCACCTTCAGTGGGACCCACCTTTCAGGTTTCCTGTTACTGCAGAAGGGTTCATGTGCGGACTTGGACTTGGTTGTGAAAGCTGCCTGATTTATTAAGGGGTAGGGACACACACCACGTTGGGGTTAACATGGGAGAGGATGGACACAGAGAGGTAGACGTGGGGCTGACCTGGGGGTGAGGTCGGCCCTGCTTACAGTGGAGCACATAACAGGCCAGTCTTTGAGGGTGATAGGCAGTCTCTGTTAGTACTCTGGGCAGATAATCAATGCAGAGTTTTCATTTTAGGAGTCCAGATTTTTGCCCTTAAAAATGTGCCTGTGTTTCCTGTTGTATAAGTATATGCCTGTTGTAAAGAAAAGAAGAAGTTAAGAAAAATATGATGAAGGCCACAAATGCAAAATTCTTAAGAGTTTGGGGATACTGAAGGGGAAACGCACCTGATGGGTTAATATCAAGTGCTTAGCACCAACACCGCCAATGCTTTTAAGATGAGAGCCTACAGCACCCTCCAGGTGGCCCACCTGTACAGCCTTCAGATGCTAACTCTGCTGCTAGATGTTTTGATTAAGGTGATCAGGTGTAACTGGTTGGTTCTGTCAGATTTCCTGGGATAGAGATTTTATTCCTGCTGGTGGTAAAGTAGATTTTTCAATTTTGGAGTTTTTTTTTTTTTTTTACAAAAAGGGGAGCAGTTGAATTGATTACTAGAAGTAATCATTCTATTCACTAGAGGGCAGGGATGCATATAAAGTGAATACTTTAAAACTGAGCTCGTCACTGTGGCATAGCGAGTTAAGCTGCTGCCTGTAGCGCCGACATCCCATATAGGCGCTGGTTTGAGTCCCAGCAGTTCCACTTCCAGTCCAGCTCCCTGCTAATGCACCTGGGAAAACAGCAGAAGATAGCCCAAATATTTGAGCCCCTGCACCCATGTGGGAGACCTGGATGAAGCTGCTGGCTTCGGCCTAGCCCAGCCCTGGCCATGGCCATTTAGGGTGTGCACCAGTGGATGCAAGATTTTTTGTCCCTCCCTCTCTGTAACTCTGTCACAAATAAATACTTTATTTTTTAAGAAAAAACTGTATAATGCTATTCCATGCTGCAGTTTATGAAGGTGGGAACAAAATGCTCAAGTCAACGTGAGGAGCCAGGGTGCTGTTGTGAGTCCCGGAATGGGCAGCTCGTGCAGGCTCAGGTGCTCCTGAAGAAGACATTTATAGGTAAACCACTAGATGTGCCAAGAATGTTACAGTAACAAAAGAAGACAGAACTCCAGACCTGGACCGCTTGCTCCTGGGGAGCCTGTTCCTTGGGCCTGGCAGCAGCCTTAGAATCATGGAGTCCACAGGTGGAGGGGGGGGTGATCACAACATCAATACTCGGAGTGGGTGGTTTTCCTCACCCAGGGAGCCAGTTCTCTGCATTGATGCTAATCCTTGAAACAGCTCTGTGAAGTTAGTGTCCTGTTGTACAGGCATGGAGTTAGAATGATGCTGTGTGACTTACCCAGGGTCGTGCCCCTAATAGCGGTAGAGTTGGGGGTTCCAGCAAGGCCTTGCCTGGCTTCCAAGCCATTCTTTTGCCATCACCCTGTGGATCTTAAAATGTTTCCGTTACTGGAGCGCTGTCATGTTCTATAATGGTGCCTTGTTATGTGGCATTAAAAGCAATTAATTGGAATCATTCTGTAGAATTGATACATTCAGAACATTCTAGATCTTATTTCTTGCTCTCCTTGTGCTTTTTTTTTTTAAGTATCTGAAATTTGAAGTTTTTATTTTTATTTTTATTTATTTTTAACGTGGAGAGTGAGAGAGAGAGACAGAGAGAAAGGTCTTCCTTTTTGCCGTTGGTTCACCCTCCAGTGGCCACCGCAGCCGGCGCCGCACCAATCCGAAGGCAGGAGCCAGGTGCTTCTCCTGGTCTCCCATGGGGTGCAGGGCCCAAGCACTTGGGCCATCCTCCACTGCACTCCCTGGCCACAGCAGAGAGCTGGCCTGGAAGAGGGGCAACCGGGCCAGAATCCGGCGCCCTGACCGGGACTAGAACCCGGTGTGCCGGCGCCGCAAGGCGGAGGATTAGCCTATTGAGCCACGGCGCCAGCCAATGCTTTTCATATATACTATTACTGGATGGCTTTCATCTGTGCCTCTCACCTCCCCACCCGTTTTCTAAGTTGACAGTGGATATTTGTCTTCAGAGCAGAATTGGTTAAAGAGATAGTCTAAAGAGAGAAAGTTACATGTAGGCCAAGTATGGGCAGAGAAAGCAGCTGTTAACTGCTGTGGCTTTCAAAAGTCGCTTCTCTGTGTGAGCACTTCAGCCTTTTTTATGCTCCCTAGGAGTTAGGGTCTTTGAACTCTGTACGTCAATAAAAGTTGAAATAGGGAAGTAGACAAGAAGTTACTGATGCATCTCAGTAAATGATGATTTTTCGTTTTCACCCAGAGCAGAGAGACTCTGAAGCCACTCACGCTTTGTTAAAGCTGACTATAAGGAAAAACAGCCAAGTGACCTCATTTTGAGCCAAAAAGGGTGTCTGCTAATGCAGGCTTGGGAGAGCCTTAGATTAGGAAGTCCTCTCCCAGGTAACAGATGTGGCTGTGACTGTACCAGGTCACATGTGGGAATGAGTACAAAAGTAGTGACTGGAGGATCAGGCCAGGTCGTGCCAGCACTTTCCGCACAGGGGCATTCTAAGACTGCGGAAAGAAATACTGATCTTCAGCAATTTCAGCCTAATGTACTGGAAAATTGCTTAACAGATTTTTATATTCTGTTAGAAGCATTTCCATATCAGTGAGATGTCAGTCATTTCCCTCTTTTCGAAGAGCGGATCTTGAGTGGCAGCAGGGGAATGCCTCTGCACAGCCACCATCTGTCTTGTGGGCCTGACGTGCACATTCATCTAGAAGAAAGAGTGGCTAAATGCACACCATACCTCGTAGGTAAGTGCAGGTCTTCATTTTCTGTTGAATTATTAGTCGTTTTTCTTTTGTGTTCTTAGAATATGATTCAGAGACCAATTTACTCCCAAAGAAAATTGCTGCTAAATTATATCTATTAAGTTTTTATATTAAAACCTGTCCTACCAAGGGTTGACTGCCACTCTGGGGGAGGGCGCCATTGTGAACGCTCATGTGTTGGCATAATTTATTAACTAGCTCTGTCAGCAGAGTGAGGGCACTGCTGAATGACAGGCCATGTGTGAGTACTATCTCCAAGGTCCAGATGTTTCACTTCTTTGTTCTCTGTGCCTTCATCTGGGTCACGAGTTCAGCAGAGACATGAATTCTGAGCATTTGGATAGAAATTTCAGGTTGGAGCAAAATCACCTGCCAGAAGAAATGATTTAAGTTCAAAATCATCAGAAACCTACAACTAATATTTGCATATGTAAGAAAAAAAATGAATAGAAGGCTCCCAAAACAAGTTATTTCCACTAGTGAGTGAGTTACAAAGCAGTTCAAATGACCTTCTTAGAAACCCAGAAAAAAATCCCCAGTGATGTGATGGAAAGTATCAGCACATAAAGGAAGTGAGAATAGGGGCTGAATTTTGATGGTTTATTGGCAGGTCATGAATATTTCAAGAGAGACCATCACTCTTACTTTGGGGGCCATGCTGGTTAAGAGACACTTCATCACGAGCTTCTAGGATTTGATTTTGTAGAACGGTTGCCAGGCCCCCCAAGTCCTCACTGAAACTCATTATCTTCAATCAATCTGGCCAAACATGGAGTTGTTAGATAAACAACCTGTCAGCCATCCAAACACTTGGCAAACAATGATGAATATTTTTTTTCCAGCTAGCCCTGAGTGGTTGTGTACATGGCCAAGACTGAGGTTGCTGTATTCCTCATTAGTTTAGCCAGCCAGAGACTGCAAGTAAAGCTGATTTGATTCAGAAGCCTGTGGTCTGGGGAGGGTTTCCCCACATTCAGCCTGCCCCACTACACTGACCACATGGCGGGGCAGGTGGCGTGGCACAGTGGGCTAAGCTGCCGTGTGAGACGCTGGCATCCCACGTTGGTGTATGTGGCTTGAGGACTAGGCGCGCTCTGCGTCAGCTGAGTCTTGCTAAGGCCTTGGGAGGCAGTGATGATGGCCCAAGGACCTGGCCACAGTGGGAGTTCTTGGCTCCTGGTTTCCGCCTTACCTGGCCCTGGCTGTTGTAGATCCTCGGGGAGTGGACCAGCAAATCGAAGATCTCTGTCTCTCCCTCTCTGTCCCTCTGCCTTTCAAATTAATAAAAAGGGAAAAGAAACACAGAAACGTGCTTCAACTTCAGCCAAATGGACGTCGAGGCGTTCCTGGAATTTGGGGCTTGGATCCCAGTAAGTCAAGGATCCTCAGGGGGTCGCTGACACAGCACGGATTTGAATGGATGAGAACTGAAGCTCGCAGCACTGTTTGTTCTAAAAGGCTTCCTTCTCCAGGAAAAATTTCCTGAGAGAAGACTAGATTGAGAGTGTATTTCAGGCTACATTCCATCAAATACCTAATTTCTCACTTCCTTAGCAAGGAAGACGAGGTGAACTCTGAGCTTCACTTCTAACTCTTCAGGTCTCTTCCCTTCCAGAAAGTGTGCGAATCTGTTTCATTGAACAGCTCTCTCTCCCTGTGTGGTTCTGCATGGGAGCTGCTCTGCTGTGCGTTCTCTCTACCAGTCTCCCCAGGTCATTACCCATGTCACTCCTGGATTCAGCCTCTGATTCCAGCTTTCTTTTTTTTTTTTTAATTTTAATTTTTATTTTTGACAGGCAGAGTGGACAGTGAGAGAGAGAGACAGAGAGAGAAAGGTCTTCCTTTGCCGTTGGTTCACCCTTCAATGGCCGCCGCTGCAGCCGGCGCACCGCGCTGATCCGATGGCAGAATCCAGGATCCAGGTGCTTTTTCCTGGTCTCCCATGGGGTGCAGGGCCCAAGCACCTGGGCCATCCTCCACTGCACTCCCTGGCCATAGCAGAGAGCTGGCCTGGAAGAGGGGCAACCGGGACAGAATCCGGCGCCCCAACCGGGACTAGAACCCGGTGTGCCGGCGCCGCAAGGTGGAGGATTAGCCTATTGAGCCACAGCGCCGGCCGTGATTCCAGCTTTCTGAAGATGTGCACCCCAGGAGGCAGCAGGTAATGGCTTAAGTAGTTGAGTCCCTGCCACCCACATGGGAGTCCTGGGTTGAGTTCTGGGCTCCTAATTTTGGCCTGGTGCAGCCTTAGCTCATTTATGGAATGAGCCTGGGAGATAAGTCTGTCTGCTTTTTGTTTGTTTGTTTCGTTTTGTTTTTGTTTTTGTTTTTGTTTTTTTTAAAGATAGAGAAAGGTCTGCCATCAGCTGGTTCACTCACCAAATGTCCGCAACAGCTGGAGTTGGGCCGATCCGAAGCCAGGAGCCAGGAGCTTCCTCCAGCTCTCCCATGCAGGTCCAGGGGCCCAAGAGCTTGGGCTGTCATCCACTGCTTTCCCAGGCCATAGCAAAGAGCTGTTTCAGAAGTGGAGCTGCCGAGACTCCAACCGGTGCCCATATGGGATGCCAGCACTGCAGGCTGTGGCTTTACCCATTCCACCATAGTGCTGGTCCTGTCTATCTGCCTTTCAAATAATTTTCAAAATCCACAGGGTTGAGGCTTTCATTATCTGTTTTGTAGATGAAGCTAAAGTGAAGCGAGGTCAGGACTGAACCCTGAGAAGTTTCCTCAGATCCTGGGTTCTCAACCATGACCAGCACTCTTTAGCTTCCTTTTCTTTTTTCTTTTCTTTCTTTTCTTTTTTTTTTTTTTTTGAGATTTATTTATTTTTTGAAAGAGTTACAGAGAGGCAGAAGCAGAGATAGAGGGATCTTCCATCCGCTGGTTTACTCCCTACATGGCCACAATGGCTGGAGTTGCGCCAATGCAAAGCTGGGAGCCTCCTTCGGGTCTCTCACGTGGGTGCAGGGGCCCAAGGACTTGGGCCATCTTCCACTACTTTCCCAGGCCATAGCAGAGAGCTGGATGGAAAGTGGAGCAGCCAAGACTCGAACCAGTGCTTATGTGGGATGCCCACGCAGCAGGTGGCAGCTTTAACCCTCTGTGCCACAGCACTGGCCCC